TTTTCCTATCGCCTCTACTCTCTAGGGCTCAAGGGCTCACGCGAATCTCTGCCGGACATCCTGATTTCCGCCACCATCGCGGAGGTAGGTCAATGAAAGATTGTTGACTTAGATTGTGTTGAAGGATTCACGGACCAAACTACCGACGTACCGACACAAGGTCTGCCTCGCCCAACTGCATGTGAAGATCTCTGCCCCCTCCCTCCCTCCTCGAGCTGAAATGTACCGTGCGCTCGGGTAAGCACATGATCTGCGTTCCCAATCACGACCAACATACATCCACCATAACTCCGGGGCAATTTATCTCGAGCATGGCTTACTAACCGATCTAATTATTTATATTTTTCTTAATTCTCGCTCGGGGACGAGGGGGGACGACTTTCAGCCCCTTCTGCCGCTAATCAAAGCAGGCGAGGAGTCGAAACCTTTAGCTGTCTCTGGGATCGAGTACGAGGGGCATGTAAAGGAGAGTATTGGTAGGAGATCGACCGGCATACGTCTCTAGGGAGGCGATCATATATTTTTTATGTCGTTGCGAGGTCGAGTCAAGTGTGGGGAGGGGAGGAGGGAATTCCTGTAAATACTTGCCATATCTGGAAGGCAGTTGTTGGCATGAGGCAGATAATCTCTACGTGATAAACTAACTATGGGGGGGGGAGTACCGGCAACAAAATCTAACCGACCTGACTCTGACCAAAAAATAATCTTATCTCCAGGCTGGAATTTGGTGACACCCGGAAAGAAAAGAATGTACTCGGCTCGGTCCATGAGCTGGTCACTATTTCTTTCCTGCTGTACTGGTCCAACAAAGGGCCTGTACCCGTCCACCGAATGCAATGCATTGCACCGACTTTCGGCCGAGTACCACCACACCTGTATGGCCGATTTCTCCATCCCGGAGGTACACCTAATCCAGCTATACGACTTCTTCGAGGCCAGCCCTCGGGCTCTCGATTCCCTCGCGTTTCCAGTGACACAGACGAGGCGGTCACATCGCGCACTCGCCCCTTTGTGTGCCTGTTCTGCCAGCCGTTTCGCCTTCTTCTTCCTCATACACAGACACACACAAGCAGCAGCAGCAGGACTGCTGGAAATCTTGACGCTTTTCGTTTTGACGTATACCGAGCCGAGGTCACACTGTGGCAGGCAGGCCCTTGCTAGAACTCAGCGGGTGGGCGTCTCGTCTCGTCTCATTTATTTGCCCCATCATCAATTTTATCGGATGCTCGTATTACTACTCTTCTCATCATCAGCTGGCATGAAGATGGCGCTATTTCTAGAATATGGTATATTGTACTCCTATTCATTAGGGAAGCTCTACCTGGATTTTCCGAAATCCATTCCCTTGGCCTAGAGATCATGAATGCCCGAAAAGTGAAGGGCACAATTAAAATCGAGTCGTCTTGCGCGCTGTACGGTCCGTTTCGTGGAAATATCTCGCACAGGGTGATTTTAAGAAGGTTTGGAAGAATGATGCGAAAATACTCACTTTTTTGGAACCTGTTCTAGTGGTTGAATAGAGCTAAACCCAAGAGGGGGCCTGCAATCATAACAGATAAGACGCAAGGCATTATCATAAGTGACCATGACGGCTATGGTAAAAGTCGATTGACTGACTAGAGTCAAGACATGACTTGATGCATTATTAACAAATACACTCTACATCTAACACATAACCTGGATGTACCGTAGAATCCCTTGTACTTCTTTCATTACGATCGAGATGAATTTTGGTTTGTAAACTACAAGTGGATAAACAGAACCAACTGCGATCCGCATTGATTACAGTACATGCTATGTCACTTTTACATTTGTGGAAGTGAATTTGTATTAATTTTCGTACTTTTGACATCTTGGTACACGTGTTGAAATGAAATGGACAGACGCAAAAATATTTCATACCATACAAGTTTCCACTAGAACGTAGATACTATTCTTTCTATAAACTTAGACACGCTTGTCTTAATATTGTCAACCTAATATGTTGAAATATATTCAAAAAAATAGTGCAAATACCCACCAGCACAGAACTTAACATTTCACGGTGATTGATCTTGTACATTACATTATATTGTACATTGGAGATTATCGTGATCTCTTTGCCATACACTCCCGCGTTAACATACGAATCATTGGAAAAATTACGTACAAGTCACGGGAAGGCATTCAAGAGAATTTCCGTCCTCTGTAAATTGCAACAAAATGAGAGTACCCAGATGGTGCCTGACGTGAAGTGGGCGTTAATGGAACCCACCAGATCACTATCTTGGCTAAGGGGGCGGGGTCTCGATAAAGTACTTAGGGTGATAAATATAGACATGGAGAAGGGGAGAAGGTGAAGGGGGTGGTGGTGGTGGTGCAAAGCGCTGGTTCAGAAAGCCAGGCCATGAGATGTATTATTCTAAGGCCTGAATCATTAGTACGAAATAGGACGAAACAACTGTGATTTGCTACCCAACACGGGCTATATTATTGTTTGCCACCAACTCCACTTCACCCCAGCACACCCCCACTCCATCGCACAATGATGATCGGGGGTCCATCTGATCTACTGTTCTCAGTGATTCCCTACAGAACGAAAGAGATGGTGGAGCCTTGCAAATCTGAAGATGATTACGACCTCCATAGACTCTACTACTTCCCTCGTTCATGACAACTACATTATCCGCTCCCTCCCTCCCTCCCTCCCTCCTTGGCTTCCTTCCTTCCTTCGCTGCCGCTATCATTAAAAAAGAACGCACTTTACAATTCATTATGCAGCATCGGAGTAACCACAGGCACAATCTTCGATCGAGCGTTCGTTCGACACAAGCGAGAGAGCTGAGCGGAGGAAATCCTGAGCCTTATACGAGCCTCGCCCGCCATGTGTGCCGCCTGCTCGAAGTGTGCAGGAACCTCGCATGTAGATGCGAGCGGGAAGAATCTGCTCATGGAACTATATTATTTGCGAGCCGACTAGTAAATGACAAACATTATATTAAAAGCTCGGTAATGAAGGCTCAGGGACTGGCGAGTTTGACTTCCCGTGCGGATCATCACGACCAGCAGCAGCAGCAGCATCATCGAGGATTTGAAGAAATTTTATACTAATTCGCGGGAATTAAGCTGATCACATTGCGACGCGAGCACACCAACTACGGGAAATAAAATGCGTGTGAAGACAAGGGCGGAGTGGTCCTGTCCTCATTAAGGGGAGAAATCCGATTCGAGCGAATGAAAAGCAAACGGAGTCACGAGAGCTCACGAGAGAGCTGCCGGACCTTCCCTTGTGGGATCTTGCGACTCCTCTCTTCCCTCGCCCTGTCGCTTTCGTCCCCTGCTCGCAGCAGCCGGCGATCCATCGACCCTCCGTCTCCGTCTCCATCTCGAGCTCGAGCTCACCACTCGGTCTCGTCGAATACAGTCCAAAATCGCAAGCAGCCAAAGAAATTTCGAAAATTCGCCAAATATGGAAGCGATTTCGCGAGGATCTGGTGACGGCGACGGCGACGGCGCGGCGGGACCGGAGAGGAAGAGGGCACTGCTTCACTGCGAGGCCGATTGGTTCAGGAGAGATTACGTGGAAAGGAGCTGCATTAACGACTCTACTCAGATAACGAAGGTTAATTAACTCCGGTCTAAAAGTGACCCGAGTCCCTCGTTTAGCGGAAAGACACACTCGAGTCCTCAAGGTCTGCGTTACCTACGTGGTGGCGGCTGACGGGTACTGTGGCTAACTCTAACTCACCTCTTATCTCTTCCGTTAGTGTGGTACTTCCTTACGGCAGGCGACGGGCATTGTCGCCGTCGCCGGAGCAGAGACAAGAGACCGACCGGCCGCCGGCGGGTTCTGTGGACTCGAGCAGATTCCGTCGGAATCTGGTGGTTTTCGTCGGGAATGGCCGAGGGGACAGAAGTGCCGTCCGGTGACAAGATAGAGAAAGTGGGCCTGGGCCGGGAGGGGGATGGGGAGGGGTGGGGAGGGGCTTTGACTGAACGAACGAACAGGGGGGGGCGATGAATCGTGGGAGATGTCCAGACGTCTCGTCAGCATCCGGGGGGCAGCGGAATCTTCCATTCGCGATCTTATGGCCCTTTCGAAGTTCGCATATATCCGAACTTGGCGATCTCCCTTCGCTTTCCGGTGCCCAACATGCACCGAAATGTCGTCAGATGACGATACGGCCTTCCATGTTGCGCACATTCCCTCAGAAAACAACTCGTTCGTCTGGGAAAATCATCCGGCCCCTATGGACTACGACGGGCGTAGAACCTTGTATGTTTGCTAGATCGGTTCACGGATGCCTCTGGCGCGTGCACATTTGGGGGTCGAGGTGGCCCGCTCTGCGTCCTTAGACTCTTGGGGCTAGCAGATGTCTCTCTCCCATGGAATCAAAGCCAGCCAAAAAGAGCACGACCTTGCTCCAGTGTCGAAGGCCTGCTTACGTCGGGCCTCATTCACGTCCATCTCATGGAAATGATGTGATCTTATCTGCCTATTCACGACGCGAATCCACCGAGCGAGCAGCTTGCGTAGGCACAATCGAAGAAGAAGAAGAAGCAGAAGAAGAAAGGGATGTGGAGATTCCGGAGAGAAGCAGAAAAAGCCGATGCAGATGGAGAGCGATCGCGATCCGCAGCGAAAATAACGAAAATCGCGACTGAGCCCTTAGAGGACGGGGGCGACTAGGAGGGGCTTTCACTCTTGTCCGCTGCTCTTTCCCTCTCTCCCGCTTCCCTCCTTCGCTCGGGCTGCCTCGGGGGCGGCGCAGCTCGCGGGGCGCGGACACCTGGCGGTGCGCAGAGGCCCTCAGAGGCCCCGAATCCAGCCCCCAGCCGGTGCGAGAGAGCGAGAGGCTGCGAGCTGACCGGCGCCCAGACTATCGCCCGTCGCCCGTCGCCCGCAACGACCAGCAGACCGGAGAGAACCGGCGCCGACCGGAGCAGAACGGAGAAAAGCGAAGAAGCCCCCGCGCGAGCGAGCGAGCGAGAGCTCTGGTGGGACTCGACGAAGGGCGAAGGGCGACATTTCGTCGCAGCTTTCCTTCGTCGATGCTCAAGTGGCCGACTCCTCAGGGACTCTGAGTCAGAGCGAGAGGAGGACGAGGACGAGGAAGCGAGCGAGAGAGTGAGTGAGCAGAGTGGCGAGCGAGGGAAGGAGCGAGCTAGCGAGGCAGCCCGAGTCTTGGAGATATATGATTTGTTGGGCTCGAGGACTCGGAGACTCTGTCTGATTCACTGTTCGCCCCGGCTTCCAAGGTGCGCAGCGAGTCAAGGTTCGCGGAGAAATTTGCGCAGCGGGGGATTGTGCTGTCTCGAGCCGGGTACGTATGTTTGCCTTCCCAGGTCGCCTGCTTTTCTCGGTCGCTGTAGGAATTAGGGGCGCCTGGGTTTTGTGAAGAGTGAGCGAGAAGACGAGGGCCGAGGAGACGAGAGTCGCGAGATGAGGACGGTCAAGAAGGGAGGGGGAGATGTGAGGGACTGGTCGAGCCTGAGCTGCAGCGGAATGGCAGGAGCAGCAGGAAGTGGTGCCGGTGCTGGTGCTGGTGATATTGTTTAGCTTGGAGGCAGAGAGCGGGAGGGAATGTGGGCTTGAGCGAGCGAGCGAGCGGGGGTTGGGGTGGAGCTTTGTTTGGACGACGGATATGGGAGGGAGCGCAGCGAGAGGTGAGGTTTGGAATGAGATCCCGACGGGCCATCGAGAGCATTTCATCGCGGGCTGGGACGGGATGTGGGAATTGCGGCGCCGGTGCCTGCCGAGCGAGCTCTTCGCTCCGCCTGTCTGATGGGCTCTCGCTCGCATGTTGATGAATTGTTTCGCTCTGGCGCACCAACTCCTGACGCGAACTCCGAACGACGAAGAATTTCCTCAGCCCGGTGCGTGCGTTACGCCCCTCGCTCGTCCTCAGCCTCGTACGATACTAGCTGGCGCATTGCGCCGTCTCCTAGACATTTGTGCAAATTTGTCGCCGAATCGATAAATCTGCGTCGTACTCGCATTCCGCCGAATCCACCTCCTCCCTCCTTCTCTCCCACTGGGACTGACATGCGAGCGCGAGGCTGCCCGAGCTGGGCCGCAACAGAAGAAGGCTGTACTCGTCCGATGTCTCTCACGTACCTTCTCGTAGTGTATCTTGCTCGGCCCATCAGTGTTCAGTTTCGTACTCCCTGCGCCAAGCGGCCCTCACGGGGCGCACTCCAGTACAGAAAGGAGGGAAAGTTGCAGTCAGTCGAGCTTTGAATATTGTATTTCTGCATCTACCTCCGGAATGTTGGTCCTAACATGGACGAGCACTGCGCCTGGTGGGTACGGGCCAGGCTGTCGCCACTCGATGCGCGGTAGCTGTATCGCATGATTTCCAGCCGATTCGTAGCCTCGCTGCGCTGCGGGCCGAATTAGCACCGCCTCCCGCTCGAATGAATCGTCGAGCGCCCCGGCATTGCTTTTTCTTCGCGCATCATCGTTCTTCAAATATGCCGGGGAGGCGGAAGATGGCTGCTTGTGCGAGGAAATGATTCCTCCGGATCAAGAGGATATTCATGATGCAGCCCTTGTGAAGCTCCCCTCGAGGTTTGTTCTGCGCCGGAAATCGGAGCCCAGCTCGTAGTCTCGTCCACTGTCATCATGTCCGTCGCTTGTCGAGAATCATCTTTCTTTCTCACGGAACGCCCTCACTGCTGCCCCCTCGCGTCGGCCCGCATCTCCGGGCTGGCGAATTCGATTTGTCGAGTGACGGGGGCGAGCTCGCTCTGCTCTGCTCTGCCCCCGTCCTGCGACGAGCAGAGGCTCACTAGCGGGCGGCGGGGGGCGGGCGGGCGAAGCTCCAGGTACGCTGTCAGGTCGATGTCAGACACAGACAGCGAGTGTCGCCTGGCAATTTCTGATCACCAGAACGAGCTCGGCGGGAGGACCGTCCTCTCGTTCGAGTCAATCCGCTGACGAGGAGAAGAAAAGAGCGCCGCGATGCCCATCGCCCAATTTCGTCTCGAATTTCCTCCGCCCGGTCCTGTCGATCCTCCGTATGTCAACCCCATACGAAAGTCCTCGGTCTCAGCGAGCAGCTGCTGCTGTCGGAACGTAGTTCTCGTCCACTCGCCGCTCTCTCTCTTCATGGCTGCGCAGCCTCGAGCTCTGTGATCTACCTTCCCACGAATGAATCTAATCTTCTCGTCTGCCTCCGTCCTTGCAGGTGCGCGGCGGACATGAGCCCGAAACTGCCATTCTGCACGCTTTCCGCCTGGTGGTTGTTGCACGCATCCCATATCTGCTAGATTCAATCGGCAATCAGCTGCAGCAGGAGCAGAGGATTTCCGCGCACAGGTAGCAGACGGTCCGAGGAGGTCGAGGGCCGACGGCAATCCTGGGACCGCGAAGGAGATCGCTGCGGGAGTGTCGATTGCGAGGCAGCAGCAGCAGGACGAGGAGCTTATGAGAAGAAAATCACCCAAGACTGCTTGTGGTTGTGGCTGTGGGTATGGTGGCGGGGGCGATGAGACGAGTGGGCCGAGACGGGGCTGAAGCATGCGGCAGGCGGAGTGCAGCTGACAGAGTGTGGAAGCACGATAACTTCAGTTGAGAGAGAAGAGCTGGGCAGTGGGGTGCGCGGGGATTTGGAGAGGGAGGGCGGACCGACAGAAGGCGAAAGATCAATCAATCAATCAAGCACGAGGACATGCATTTGAAACTGTCCTGCAGCACGAAGGCGAGCGGACCACGGAGTGCTTCGACCACTGGACGTCGCGGTGAAAAATGAGGCAGCTGGTTTATCCAGAAAATGACGAGGACAGGATTTCCCGACAGTTGATCGAGGCTGCGCTTTCCGGAGATGAACAGGCTGTTCTCGAGGCTCTCGAGCATGAACTGGTAGATGTCAACTACAGGGGCACCGTCAGTCTTCGGGTCAAGTACACGGATTCAATTCAGCGCGAAGAGGTCGCGGACGAAGTCAAGTTCGACTACCAGGAGTTCCGAACCGATGTCACTCCCTTGTTCGCCGCTGCGCACTTGGGCCACATCGGAATCACCAAGAAACTGCTGGTGAGGATTTTTTGCCGCTCCCTCTGTCTTTCCTCGAGCAATTCTTTCATCTGTGTGCCGAGCGGATTCGATTGCAGAGCCCGCGGGGATGTTCCCCTCCAGCTTGTGGTCCGTCAGACCCAACCGGAGATGTCGTCCTGATTTGACGTTTCAAAATTTTCTGGAATTTGTGTTGTGATTCTTGCGCGCGAATCCATCCCCGTGCAGCATGCCTGCGAGGGGCTAGAGAAATTTGGGGCGAGTCCAATTTCTGTCGGGATTTACGGACACTTGCGTCGTGAACTTCCACAATTCTGATTTTCGCTCATCCATAGCCGTAATGGTAGTCTTAACAAGCAACCGCAGCTCCCCACTTTCCATCGGGGGATCGAGGGGCGAAATCAAATTCGCATCCGGTGGGGTGCGAGCAAGAATGGGACTCACAGGAGTGGAAGTGCGCCTGACAATGCTGTGAATGTGCTGGCGCAGACCGTGGGTGCGGATGTCAATCAGAAGCTGTTCAGAGGATTCGCAACAACAGCCGCCTCGAGGGAGGGCCATCACCAGGTGCTAGATTTGTTGCTGAGAGCAGGTGCGCAGCAGGAAGCCGTAGAGGACGCGCTCCTCGAGGCATGCCTCTACGGGCATGTCAAGGCCGCAGAGCTCCTGATCGGGTCGGAAATGACCCGGCCCGACGTGCTGGCGCAAGCTCTGGTCCATGCCAGCAGTAGAGGATTTGTGGACGTGGTGGCCACCCTGATCAAGGTGAGCTTGAGCTCGAGCATTGACCAGAAAATTCATGCCTCCCTTCTTTGCTGCCTTTGATTCGACAACTTTGAAGAACTAGAAGAAAGATTGGCTGGAAACAGGCAGTTTTTGCATGCTCTCGAATCATCATCTTCATAATCATGTAACTGAGGGAAAGGCTTTGGTCCTTGTAGAGCGGAGTGGACATCGACTCATGGCATCGCGTCCTTCTTCGGTCCGCCAAGCCCATGCTGTATGCCAACATTGACTGCACACCGCTAATAGCTGCCATCGTAGGGAGGCAGACTGCAGTGGTAGACTACCTACTCCAGGTGAGACACCGACCTATCGTCGGGTTGTGTGCTCAGTCGGTCAGAATAGCATCCAGGATTTGTGGCTCACTCGAGACAGTTGCTGGGCACAAAGATTAGTCAATGGTGGCATCGTGGGCCGGAGATTGTCCAGAATTTCGATGATGTGATGATTTGCGTTTTGTCACTTTAGAGCTTTACGAGCTTTACGACCATTTGAGAGTGGTTCAGAGCTTTTTGATCATTGTGGCCAGCAGGAGGAGGAAACTGAATCTGTGTGTGAATTCGGTTGCAGGCTGGCGCGAAGACGGGATGCAAAGCCAGCTTGGGAGCCTGGTCTTGGGACTCTGGCTCCGGGGAGGAGTTGCGCGTGGGAGCTGGTCTAGGGGAGCCTTACAACGAGGCATGGTGTGCCGTCGAGTACTGGGAGTCGTCGGGGCACATTCTCACGAGCCTCCTGAAGCACTTGAGTCCGGACAGTGTTCACAATGGGCGCACGCTCATCTGCCACGCCATCCTGTGCCGGAACATGCCGGCGATGCAGCTGATTCTGGATGCTGGAGCCGATGCCGAGTTCCTGATGCAAGCCCGAGACGGACAGGAGCGGCCTCTGCACTACGCTGCTCGATCCGGATGGCTGCCTGCGGTCAAAGTGCTCATCGACCACGTTTGCTCCGTGGACGCCATTACGGAATCCAAAGACTCGGCGCTCATGATTTGCGCCAAGCACAAGTACTGGGACTGTTTCGAGGAGCTGCTAGCGGCCGGGGCCGACTTGGGAATCCAAAACAGCAGCGGGCAGAGTGCAATCACCATCGCCGAGGGAAATGGCTATGGCTCCGGTGTGCAGAAAATAATCTGGAACGCCATCGTCAAAGGCAGCAAAGTCCGATCCACGGACCCGGAGGTGTTCTCAGCTCTTCATGTGGCGGCTAAGGCAGGCGACCTGCAGGTGCTGCAGAAGCTGCTCGAGCAGGGTGACATCGATGTCAATGTCCAGGACAAGTATGGCTATACGGCGGCGATGCTGGCAGTGGGAGAAGGGCACCTGGAAGCCTTCAAGCTTCTGCTCTACGCCGGGGCGGACATCGGCATGAAGAGCAAGAAGGGCGAGACGGCAGTGGCTCTGGCTCGGAATGGCACTCTGGAGCGGCTCGAGTGGATTCTGCTGGACGCCATCCTGGCCAATGTGCTCAAGAGCGATGAATTCCAAGTGCTGCACTTCGCCGCCAGACGAGGTCACCTGGAGGTCCTGACGCAGCTGGTGAAGAGAGGCTGCGCCGTCAACGGACTGGATGAGGATGGGTACACTCCTTTGATGCTGTCTGCGAGGGAAGGCCATGCCGACGCCGTGAAGCTGCTGCTGCTAGCAGGTGCCGACACCTCTCTCACGAACGGCCGAGGGGAGACTGCTCTCTCGCTGGCCCAGAAGCACTCGGCCTCCAAGGCCGCCGAGAACATCATTCTGGACTACTTGGCCAAGAAGTTCGTCCTGGCCGGGGGCCAAGTGTCGAAGCACACGCGACAGGGCAAAGGAAAACCGCACATGAAGAATCTGAGCATGCTGAAGTCAGGCGTTCTGTGTTGGGGCAGAAGTAGAAGGCGCAATGTGATCTGCAGGGAAGCTGCGCTCGGGCCCAGTGAGAAATTGCAGAGGAACAGGCGGCGGAGAGGGGATGCCGACAAGCCTGGCGTGTTCCGGATAGTGACCAACAAGGGCCGAGAGGTGCACTTCGAAGCGTCCTCCCAATCGAATGCAGAGTTGTGGGTGCGGGGCATCAATCTCCTCAGCGCAGAAGTGAGGGTGCCCAACGGCAGCGATAGAGGACCAGGAGCAGGAGCTTAGGCACACAGACAGAGGTCGGGTTGACACCTTCAACACCAACACAGTATCCACGAACGAATGTGCACGGCACCTCACTCCATCCATCGTCCGGCCGGTGTGAGCTGCCGTGTGCTTTGATTGTTTGTCTAAATACAGCTTGGGTTCCTGACTGTAAATTATTCTGCAGATGGTTTGGGCCATACGTCCACCAAGGAATTCTTCTTCGCCTCGCCCAGCTCCAGGAACCCAAGGAACTTCACACTTACAAGAGCAGGCAGAGTTTCCAAATCGATCCAAGAAGGGGCCATCCAGTGGGCCATCCGGTGGATTCCGGGAGATCATCCATGGGGGAGCGAACCTCTGGACTACACATAATGACGAAGCGGCTCTTCTTTTGGCGAGCCTGCCTGCTGTGATTTCACCCAAGTCTAGTGAACATAAAACCGGAGCGGGTGCACGCTTGCAACTCGTTCTGAAACCGGGACGTCTTTGTACAATCTGTTTCTGCGCCGTCCTGACGGTATATAATGCGAACCACGTAAAAGATGCAAGTGCACGGAAGCCATCAACACCAGGAGCCCCCTCCCCCGCCCGCCCCACGATCGTTGCTGCCGCAACAGGACCAAGGGGATGATGCAGGAATTGCAATGTGGTTAGCATCGTTCTTTTAGCGTAGTGTCATGTCACCCTCCTAAGTTTTAGCTGAAAATCTTAGACAACCGGGCTTAGGAATGAAAGCTGCGTTTGTAGATTTATCATCCAAGTAAACTTTGGGGCAATACCCCCCATTGGAGAGAAAGAATTAGCAGTAGCACACCATATTCTGATTGTTTTGTGTCAATAGGACTGTGAGCGTCAGAGTCCGCTTTTGCTCCCAGAACGGATATCCTGCCGGCGATTTTACTTGGGGCCCCGGCCCCTGCCGACATGTATCTGACCAACTTGTCTCACAACACTTCATCTTCTGCAAACAAGGGATGAGAATGTACTATCAACATCTTTCCGTAAATTGAAGTTTGAAGAAAAGTAACATATTCTTCTGAAAGGTAACGCAGTCGTGCTCCTGTTTTCCTTTCTCTCTCTTTCTCTCTCACTCTCGGTTTCCTGTCCAGCCTACACGGTTCCATGTTCCATGTCAATGGTCTCGATGAGCATATGCTGTCTCTGGCTTCATGCGTGTCTTTACAACTGGATGCGATTCTCTTTCGTAGAGTGGGACTTGTCGAGAATCATGGGCTGCGAGGGGAGATTCGCTTTAGCCCGGGCTGTCGCCACCACACGTTTGATTACCACCCACACGTCCTCGAGAGAGACCAGTCAACACCGAAGGAGAGGTGCACTAGATTTCAGGGCTCGACTTCGTTGGCTGTTGCTCCGAACAGCAACAGCTTTGACGCCGACCACGGCATTCCCACGCATCTGCGAGGGCGTGGTTTGCACGAGCATTCTGCAGTGCTATGGAATGTATGTCTCCAGGGATGAGTCCGGATCACCAGAATGGAGTCGTCTACTCGACGGTGGTCAAATCTACCTCCTCAACTCGCTGCTGCCACCCCCTCGTCAAGGCTATGTTTGTCGTAGATCCACTCGGTGATTCTTCTCCCACACTGCAAGGGATTATCGTCAGATGCCTCTTGGCAAAAGCGCCATCATGATATCTACTCCCCCTTACCTCGCGGCCCCGGGAGATGCTGTGGTGGCTCTAGGCATGGAGCGAGGATGAGAAGCTGCAGGACGGGGACTGGAGGAAGCAGACCCCAGACCCCAGAGCTCAGCAGGTCCGCCCTTCTTCACCGTCCTCAAAGGACCTGCCTGTCGTTCCCAGGCCATCTGACGAACGACCTCCACAGGGAACCCGAATCTGCTGCCGCAGCAGCTGCCATAGCTCAAAGTCCTCCCTCCCTCGGAGCCAAAGAAGACGAGCTAGCAGTCAAGATTCTCGGACGACGGTCGGGGCTGGGGTTCACGTCCCAGTTGAGCTTTTGCAATTTGTCTCTCTCATCATCCGTCATCTGATTCAGCAGCAGCGGCTCAGTTCGCCGACTCTGTAAAAGGAGGGACTGCGTATGTATACGGTCGTTTGCGGTGGGCTCCACGAGAGCTAGCTGTACAGTAGTAAAGCCGGGCTATGGTGGTCATCTGCACTGAGGCTTCAGGCTTGTGGGCCCCAAAAGCAAGCGAGCTAGCGATCGGATGGATGGACTAGAGAAACAACGGTTTCGACGCATCAGAGACAGCACGCGTGATTGAAGTGAACTGTTCTCAGGCCTAATGTCTCTCTTGCCATGGCTGCCTCCTGTGACCACTTGGCTCCTCACAGGCTTACACTCGCAAGCACTAGATTCAAGGCATCAACGATATTTGTCTGAAAGAATTCCCTCACAGTCCTTCCTTCCTTCTTCTTTCCCAGTGCATCATCTCTTTGACGGTCGAAGCCTTCCATGCCCCGCCTTTTCTATTACGTCCATGGGCCCCGGGTACACCGAAAGAGGTCAACCTCGGAGTGGGTCCGGGCGAAGTTTTGAACATCAGAGTGCCCGGATCAATGAATGTCCTTCTCGTTGGTGGGAAGCGGGGGGAGACGATTTTTTCCTTCCCTGCTAAGCCTCTGTACTGTTGAGTTCTCCGAGTCCCGGATTGCGATCTGCCCCGAGGCTGGGACCGTCAGTCATGCATCACAAGGCAGCTCGGTCGCTGCTCAGCAGCAGGCCTTTGGCCACCGGCGCCACAGCTCTAGCTCCTCATCATAATTGATCTACGAATTCCTCTTGCTGCTACCCATCTACCATCGTGCTAGGAGCGATGCGGGGGCAGGGCAAAAGACGCAAGTGTCCGGGGTTTGTGAGGACCTCCCCTCAGATGCGAGTATTTTATTCGCAGATTTGCCGTGTCTGATTCTTGTTGAAGTTCGATGTGGAGGTTCCCGCATTTATATTTATAAATCAAGAGAATTAAAAACTATAGATGTGGTTCTGGATGGTAGCTTTTCGAATCACGACCTCGTGCACCGAGGGTATCTGTTCATTGAAATCCGAGGCAGATCGTCGCATTGAACAGCCCAGCCAGCCTTGACTCACACTGCACCTGGAGACCGACCGTGAAGCAACTTCAGCTTCAGCTGCAGCTGCATCTCTCCATCGACCGAGCAGATTAATAGGCACTCAGCCCTTCCGTTCACCTGTCTTATTTTTTGGCTCTGACAGTCGGCGGATGGCGAGGCCCCACAGGAGTCCTGGTTACTTGCTCTCTGCTTCTTTCGACGCCCGTAACTTGTGGATGCAGAAGGAACCAAATAATATACCCCAAAGGATGGGAAAAGACCCCATCGTGCCGGGGTGCACATTTCGGCACATGATTTTTCCCTTTTCGCCGCACCATGCATAGTCCTCTTCTCGAGCCCTGCCTTCGCATACGACCATCGCTCGTCCTCTCCATGTCTCCAGCAGCTAGAGCAGCTTTTGAGCCAGCACACGCACTTGTCAAACGTCTCGAAACTGTCAGTCGGGTACGGGCTTTGTCCATCCCATGTCTCCAACAGCCGGCTGGACGGGCCTGTCCTACTTTCCCAGATGCTAAAGTAAATTCACAGCCTCCCCTCGACCCGCTTGTCGGGCGCCGCTCGTAAATGAGGGACGGCGTGAAAGTTACTTGGAGAATTCGGTTATAATTGGATAGCTAGCAGCTCTACAAATCCCGACGATGCTACACGTCGTCCGCAGAGAAACAAAAGCGTCCTGCTCGATACCGGAGATTTCGCCCGATCGGCTGGAATATCCGCAAGCTGGTACTCGAGATTTTTCTCCTTTCGTTTCGATGGAGCTCATGCATGAGCTCTGAATTCCTCGTGTGAGGGAAAGCCCTCACCTTTTGCGGTCAAATGGAATGTAAATCCGGGTGAAATGTCAATTACTTCTCAGACCCAAAATGCTTGACAGTCGAGGGAGGGGGCGCTTAAAGCTCTGCAGGTTTTGTTTCTTTGTCGTCGGCTCTCTCTCTCTCTCTGGCGACGAAAAGCTCTGCTTTCGGTTATACAACGAACGGCTCCTGAACCAGTGCAAGTGCAAGTGCAAGGGAGGGAAGGAAAGATTCAAAGGATACGACAGACATCGATTTAGAGACTTGCTCAGAAGGTTTCGTCGGTAGAGCGAGGTTCCAAGTGCGTAACGTTCTGATCTGATCTGAGCCTCATCCGGCAGCAAATCCTGCGAGGGGTGGCAGCTCTTTATTGTAATAAGACAAGCCTCGGACTGATCATTAATCCAGATAGAGAGAGTCCCAGAGAGAGGATCTGAGAGATCTGGAAAGCCCAGCAGTACGATGACTGCAACTTCCGTTACCTTGGCTCGAAAAGGTGAAGGCAAGAACATGCCACATCCCCTTGCCCCGGAGCCCTTTCGCAAGCAGCAGCAGCAGCTTTCAACGAACTCAGTGAGCGATCGAGTGCTTTCTCTCGGAAACAGTTGGTCTTCGTGAAAAGACGAGTCCATGGATAGGATGCGAGCCAGGACAGACTCTGTCAGGTCTATCCGGACGAGCTGTTGCTGTTGCTGTCAAAATGAGTAACCTCCTGTGCAGATTTTTAGAGAAAGAGCGAGAGCAGCCGGAGTGTTGCGCAAATTGCACCGAATCATGCTCTAGCTCCCACGTTCGGGAGGGCGTGGTAGAGCGCATCATTGCTCGTCGATCAAAAAGGAAGAACCAGCTACGACAGTCCGCCAGGGAGCTCGATGGTGTTTCACGAGGGGTTCGAGATGGATGTTGGAAAGTACAGGGGCAACGCTGGCCCTCCTCTTGCTATCTGCGTCTTTACTGTCACGGCCTCGTACTCGGGACGCATCACTGCGAGCATCACTTGTTGGATTCATGGTCGTCAAGAAGGAATGTGGTAGTTACGCTCTTGTTCGTGGTACAAATCCGGTACGAGGAACATGAATGCCTGGAGCTCGGTGTTCGGTCTGGAGCTTGCTTGCCAACACAGATTTCCGCCTAAGCGCCATAAACATCATGTTCTCCGCCTTAAAAGACATTCCCCGTCTTGATTCCATCGATCTACATTCCCCTATTAAAAGACTCGGCTTTTTCTAAAGAGGCCAGGATTCATCATAGCAAAAGATCTTGGAAAGTCCCCGTGAGTCCAGGTGCAACACCCAACTACCTTTCTCTACCCCTCGTAATGAAGCTCCATGCAACTCGCAATTTATGACGCCCTTCTCAAAAGATCCACATTTTGAACTTTAGCAAGAGCTCTCGCAGCGAACACCGATCGTGCCATAAATGAGGAATCCAGCCGCCTCATCCACTTCGAACTGATAAGCCCTCGATGCGCGATTTCTTTAGTCGGATTTGCACAAATTTTGGCTTGAGTGTGGACCTGTAGTGGTCCCAGACGCTCAAAGTTTCTGGGCTTTAAGCTTTCATCTGGCCCTGCATTACCGCCTTCAGTGATCTCGATCATGTTCGCAATAATATGTTGCAGCTGCAGTGGAGCCTGGAACTTGATATCGAAAACGACAGAATTCATCCGAGGTTTGTCTATGAAAACCATGAAATATCGTTATGAACTCCAGCTCGAAACTTGAAACTACATCGAAGGATCACAGTAATCTAATCTAATCTAATCTAATCTAATCTCGTGCTCAAGCAAAATTGTTTGTTTCATTCATCTCTAGTTCATTGTGGACATCTAGTTCTCAAAGCCTGATGGTTTCGGCTACACAAGGGCATCACCTAGTGACTTGCAGGGATGTGAATGAGACTCTAACAATGTTCCTGGGTTCAAATTTTTCTTCCTCAGGGAGCACTGTGCATTTCCATCTTGAGTGCTATCACAATGACACGATGTGAGAGCAATCAGTGTGTCCTTGTGATCGCAGTCACCATCAGAGCGCACAATGTTCTCGGAGAAAGGGAAGTTTGAATCCAGGAACTTTGTCAGAATCTCATTGGCATCCCAATAAGCCAGTTGAGTTGCCTGCGAGGAGATGGGCTACGAGGTAAGGAGAGGGTTGGGCTTCTCCGAGTGCCAACTCCATTCAATTCAAGGTTTTGAGTGGTGGTCCTCGGTGGCGAAGGTCTTCAGATGTTAACTCCGATGTATCTGGCCAGGTCGATCCGTCTCTCTTCATCTGATTCGGGTATCTCAGGCACTCGGTAGCTCGCAAGTAACCTGATCACCGCTTCACCTGGGAGCTGTTGGAACTGCCCAAGAGTATCTGGGAAGTCTGGAGGGACCATTTCCTCCTTATCCAGGAGAGGACATAACAAATCAGAAAGCCTGACACAGGATCTGTTGTATGCTCTTGCGATGGCGTGGGCATTGGATTTGGCATACGCATATAACAGATGAAACTTCGACTCTAGTTCAGTGAGTCTAATTTCCACAATGTCCGACTTCGTGTACGGGCTGCCCGTGGGTGAGTCGAGGCCTTTGGTCCCTGCTCGTCTGGGGATAGCATTCCGGCACTCGTCTGCCACAGTCTGCAAGGTCTGCGACAAGGAAGAGTCCATGTGCTCGAGCCCCGGCGGAATAGCATGTATGCATTCCGCCACTTTGGCCAGAGACTCTGACAGAGCTTGTTGCCAAAGCAGACTTTCTTCGGCTCTCTGCTCCTCCGTTAAGTTCGAGTCCAGAGGGTTGGGATCACTCGTCGGCGGTGTTGGGTTGGAAGAGTCTGTTGGTGTCTTGCTTCCACGCCTGCCCTGCTCTTGAGCTTTTCCCGTTTCGTCCATATTAGCCTTGTAGAAAAGCCCACGACAGGAAGACGGGTCTTTCTCAAGAAGCAGATTGCCACAGCTAAGCTGAACATTTCAACTGTTAGAATTCCTGAAGCCTTAAGAATCATGTACACATAACAGCTTACAAGAAACTCACAGCTGGAATATGAAACTGATACGCACTCGGAAGGAAGTGCGCATATCCACACATACTAAGAAACACATGATCTAAGGCACCTGTCAGTGGTCTGTCTCGGGACATCCTTCGAATATTCTGAACTAGATCTTAAGTGGTGAGTCTGGTGAGTGAAATCAGCGTGTCCTCCGAGAAACGTACAGAAGAATCATGTACGTCTTTGAGACACAGGACGCTTTAATCGTACCTGAATGTGAGGTGTGGTTATTTTCCTGTGAGAGTAAGTAGAGCTAAACACTGCCTCCGCCACAGGATAACTCAAATTTGGGAGCCGGTGGGATGAAGGAATTCGACAAGGAATGAATATGATATTAAACGGATAAATCCTGTTCATTGGACTGACAGCAAAGAGCAAAGCTTTTCTTCACGAGATGGTGCATGCTTCTTTCGATTTTTGGGTGGACCCATCATCTGGGAAGGTAGATCTGAGACTGAACATAGAAAACTAGAATCTGACTCATGAATAAAACGACGAGAAATTTGCACACGTCTCCACGAGGACGCTCAGCCTGAAAAGTGACAACAAATCATTTACAGCGAATCAGAAGGCTCCGGAGAACGAGGGATACCTGCTGATTATCAATGCTGGAAATGGATTTCGAAACTGCAGATTGACATTTTGGGGCTTCAGCACCGTTTGCATCACAGCACGCGGAGCACAACACCCTCGAAAACAACCTTCACAACGACACACCGTTCACAGGAACTTGCTCACAAAGCGCCTGAGGATGGGGACACAGCCATCACTAGATTGACCGGTGACAGGAAATGAGCGACAAGGTTCAGTGCACTGTACGCTGGTCGAAACGACCATGTTATACATTAATCTTGATCTTTTTCGTCTCTGATATGGGGCTTAATTTACACTAAGCAATACTGTATCAAGGTTCGTAAAGTTACATAATCGTTTACGTAACTGCCCGAAACCGTGCACGTGATACAAGCACTTGCATGCTTGCCAACTGCTTCGGTTGTAAAAGACTGTCAGGTCGCTTTCGATCAGCAATTGCTTCCAGTACCTTCAGCATTATGCAGCATGCATCATTCCAACCCTACGACTGCCTCTGAATTTCATCCTGTCAAACGAGACGTTCAGCAATCGTTGGGTGTAATCCCGGGGTCGCGAGATCGGTGGTTGCCACAGCTCTACCGAGGCCGGATTGTTTCGGGATGCTGCTGCTGCTGCTGAGAATGTGGGTCTACTTGCAGCCACCAGGCTAATTCCATGTCGCGTGCGCAATTCACTAAAGAGCACAATCCAGTTTCCCTTCCAGAACCTTTGAGAATGCAGACATATGCGAAACACTGGCTCGTGAGAGGTGCATCACATCTAGGGCTGGTGGAAACTCGCTCTCTGGTGGAGTGTTCGAATTTTCCCGGAACGACGATCTTGGCTTCCGCACTGAATTCAAATCAATGTAAGATTCATCACGGCCTCGGCTCCGGGCCGATGAGGAGCAGAATTCGAGCGACTACATGGTCCAAGAGAGAGCCAAACAATCATGTCCCCTCCCCATCCCCATGTGAAGTAAATTCCGGCACCATCTGCCCCAGAGCGCGCGGAGGCTCAACTCTTATAGACACCGAGTTCCGCCAATCTCCACGACGAGCACAGAATAGCAAGAATGTCTTCTGTCAGTTGCATTGAATGCCCAATGCATCGTCGGTCGCATCTCCCCGTGTCCTCAATTCCGACTCGGCAAGAAGATTCCAGCTGCTCTCCGCACTCGCCCCCGATTCAATCTTCGCCCCGTCTCCACCGACGGCACGCATGCTTTGGAAGAATCCCGTCGCCATAACCGGAAACCCCGGTGCGACCTCGTTCGCTCGAACCGCCACCTGCTTCGTCGCAGTTGGTGCGCCGCACTGGCCCGTCTTCCCCGCTGCATTCCGAACGAATTCAGGCCCACCGACAGGCAAGCAAACGGACGGAGCTCCAGTCGGCCGTATCACGGACGGACAGACGGACGGAGAGGGAGCCATGCAGCCCCCAATGGACGGACGGATCGATCGATCGAGAGACGAAGAGGAGCGCCGGAATTCAAGGTAGCATCTATTAATGCCCCTCCGCTGCCGTTACGGAAGGTACTCGTCGTAGTTCCCCCTTGGAGGGGCCTGTAGTACCCGGACTTCCTCCGGATGCCGTAGGTCGAGAAACCTCCTGCTGCTGCTGCTGCTGCTCTCCGACACAGGGGCATGAATCCCGAACCCCATTGCACGAGCCAAAGCGATGGATGACTCGTGCATGAGCTACATGCAGACATCTCAGACGAGCACAAGGTCTGTCTGCTCTCTCTCTCTCTCTCTTCTGTACCAGGTCGAATCCCAGCAGTGGTGGCCGAGGGGCAGAATCCCGGTGGGCAGTGAGATGAAGAGAATCCCAATTTTCTCTCGCGGCTTGTACCTCGGGGAGGGACACACACAAGCAAGGGCATGTGAGCGTGGAGAAAGTGCACATGGAATCTGCGAAGGGTGGGACAGAAGGAAGGGGTGGACGACTGACTGACTGACTGGGCAGGGCAGGGCAGGGCCCGTGGGTGACAGCCGGGTGTGGACAATACACGAGCAGCGAACTCCAGATCGGCGGAATTTTGAGTGAGTGAGTGAGCTCTGCCCCACCACGCACGCGAGCACGGGAGCGAGGGACGGGAGGGAAGGGGAGGGGATGAGTGAGAACGTGGGTCCTCACGGGGGGCTGCAGATAATGAAGAACATGGATCTCTGAGGTATATTTTTGCACGCAGAGCAAATGGACCCCAGCCATCGAGCCAGCATGATAGTGAGCAAGCAAGCACCGGCGCTCGAGCAATGAATCCAGGTGGTCAACTCCAGAGGTGATGGAGATGGCGCACCCATTCTTTTGTCCATAGAGCGTCCCCAGCTGCCTCCCTCTGTCCATCCCTCGGCCCATTCTTCTTCTTGCTGTTGTTGACCTCCTCAAGGGGAGCTGGGTTTAGTATTTCCCAGGGTCCGGGGGCTTCCATAGCTGGATCTGCTGCTTGTTTGCTTGCCAATGCATGGGCTCACTGTCTTGCAAGATAAATCGTGTCCTGTCGTTCTGGCAGCATGCATGCTCCCCTTTCTGCTTCAAGAACTCGCTCTCTTCTGAATCCGTCGGGGCGAGTATGCTCACATAAACATGAATTCTATCTATTCTTCTCAATCCTTATCATGAGAGGTCATCTGAAAGAGATGAAGGTCTGGGGTTCGAGAGTGAAGTCAATTGTATATTTTGAAGAGTTCCAGCTTCCTCTATCTATACACTGTACCATAGTAATATTTTATTATAATATTGCCGATTCAAGGTCTTCGTACTCTACATGTTATACAGTGTATAGTCCAAAATTTCCTTTTATGATTCGTTTGAGATTCTGTACATTTGGAACCACCCTCTACTGTACCTGTTTACGGTTTTATAATAGTTTACTCATAGGTAAGTTTGTCAACCAGGATCATGAAACTTGTCTTCTTGGAAAAGCCAAAAGTTGTTGAGCGAACCCAGTCTTTAATTCAGGTCAAAATTCAAGGTTTCCAACAGGCAAAGCATTGAATTACTAAATTCTGTGAAATGTTACGTGGACACTGGTTCTCTCATTTGACATTTGAGGACGATGGTTGACATTTTTATGTAGAAGCTCGGAGTTCAAAACAGATTTCTCGGGTTTTTTCAGCTGAGCTTCATGCCACACCCATTCATAAATATAATCCATATAATTTAGTCGGTGATGGATGTAGAGTACAATATTATAATACTTGTTCATCTATTTGAACCAGCAGCCAGTTGAAAACTATAATGAAATAATAGTTAGAAGTATTTCTCATGTACCTCTATTTATGAATGACAATCACTCAAGCAAAAAGTTTTCTTTCTTCCACTCTGAGCCGCAAAATGACTCAAATTTCTGCTAATTGTCACAAATATACAATTAAAAGATGTAGAATAGTGTGGAGTTCAGGTTGTGAGATATTGTGTCGTATGTGTTGAAAGCTTCTAATCCAGTCATGCTTGGCAATCATCTCGCAACACTTTGATTGGCATTTCAGTTCCCGCTAAATTCTCGTTGGTGCATTGTACTCAATACAGAGCTTTTAGTTCATTTAAATATGGCTTACTCTATTTCAACATAACATAACTATATTCTTCTCTTAAAGAGCTTGGATGTACGTAAACACTGCGCATTCAAAGCTCAAGAGTAAACCGATAGCTATCCAAAAGTTGACTCGGTTAAAAGAACCCGGAGGTGTTGAAAGAGAAGAAATGTATCTATGGTAATAAATTTAAAATGAATGATCATATTGACCTAAACCGTATAAGAATATTCAGACCTATATGAGTAGAATATTAGAGAATATATTAGTAGAATATGAGAAAACCATTATAGACATTGTAAAATATTAGTATGAATATTTTTTATATATTGTATAATCATTATATATAGGAGAGTGCTAGTTATCACTCACTCTAGTATACGCAATTCTCTGATTGGTCAAATACTTTACACTCTACCCTGATTGCTGTTCATGAGGAACCTCTAGTGTACGCGATTCTTTGATTGGTCAAATACTTTACACTCTACCCTGATTGCTGTTCATGAGGAACCTATAACCCTGCATATAACAATCAGAAAAGAGATTGGAGTAGAGTGAAAGCTAATTAACGTTAAATGAGTAATAATTAGCCGCTATATATATATATATATATATATATATATTACCACAAAGGTATATTTTTTCTCTTGGAACTGAAGTATTGATGAGTCAATCGAACAGGTCTTACCATCATCTGAACAATTCAATAAAATTTTATGAAAAGAACTACAATCATAGAGGTGCTTGCTTTCGAAAGAAGAAAATAGACTAGTAACGGTGAAGTATTTGTCTTTGATAGATGATTACCATGTACCGGAAAGCTCCTAGCAAATATGGCTGAAAAGTGATTTCGAAAATACACTCATCAACATATATCTCAAAGTTTCCTGGTCGTACGTATTCATGTTCAACATGAGAGAAATTGCAAGAAGATTAACAATGACACATGATCATAGCATCATTTTTTTATTGATCTTCTTGCAATTTATCTCAAGTATAATAATAACTTTCGTTGACCTCCTTCCATCATTCATCCACGTCACCTTCACAATTGCAAGAAGGTCTACGGATTTTGAAACAACTACTGCATTTTACTCTTTTAAACTAACCAGGCATGTATTTCCAAGTAATACTTATATGGAATAGTCCAAATTTTTAATCCTTTGTTAGCATCGAAGAATCTCAAGTTAAAGTTAATGGAGTGCTATATCTTAAATTTTATTCTTTAATATGAATGCATACTTGAAATTAGTACTTCAAGTTAGTTTGCTTTACGTTCATAATACAGCTACTGTTACAACAGTATCCTTGTTTGATTGATTTGTTATTTATGTTCATAGCTCGTAAGATTCTATCTTATTGGAAAATCTATCAAACATTAAGAATGATTTTTCCTACTAAAATGTTCTGTTTTATTTATAATAGAATTTGTCTCTCACATAAAATCTTAGAGTATCCAGATTTCCCTCGGACTAATATTTTAACAATTCTATCATTAATCTTTACAATCGAATATGCAGGAAGGTTAAATCAAAATTTAAAATCAAAGGCATGTTCGTATATTCCAAAAATACTAATGACTGCGCAATGCGCTGTATGACATCAGAGTGGATTTGGCTTATCTAGCGATTAGAAATTTATCTAGAAACTTGAAGTGCGTGGAGGATATATAAGCATAAAATATGCTTTATAAATCAGATCAAATATCTCATGAATCAAATGCAAGGATTCTTCTTTCGCCAGCACCAGAATACTAATAGAGCACAGAAGATGACCCATACTGTCCTATTATGACGTTTACTGTCTTAACCCCGTCGATCAGTAAACTCCAGACAAAACTCCAGACATGTTCTTACAAGTCAAATAATGAGCGGTTGCATGCCAGTCAGTACACAATGGAAGTAAGAGAAGAGCTATAGAGTAATCTCACTTCAGGAAAAAGAAAGTGATTGAACATTGCACATTCAAATGCCCGCACGGACTAGAGAAGCTTATGTATTGTAACTAAGGTACAGCACACAGTTCTTCTGAGGAAAAAATTATCTAACGTGGATGGATCAATTACATCATTCACAATACTGATGAGGTAATTGTATGCATATTGTTCACCCCTGTGTTAAGGTTCCACCAGATCATATGGCAATAATTTAACTACAAATGAAAGCAGCCCATGTTTCAATAAAAAATTGCATTATGTCAGCTGAGTAGTTGAGAATAAAACTAACGAATAATAATGGAGACAATTTCGTGGTTTACAGCTTTGTTCGAGCTAAGCGAAAAGTGTTGCGATCAAAGCAACACAATTACAGCAATTCTCAATGTGAAAAAAGTTGGTTCAAAATAGCAAATGTAGTAACAGACGTAAATACTCGCCTCCCGACGATCGAAGGTTTGTCATCTGTGCATCAGTAGATGCCATGGAATATTCCAAAATAGATTTTATGCTTTGTCTCGCTGATTCAATTACATGTGTGAATATTTGCAGTGTGTTTTGCACTGTGAGATATGTAACTTGCAAAAGTCTCTTATATCTTGAGAGAGTAGTTGGCCAAAGACAGAAAAAAGATTTCTAGATTAGTTTCCAAGGAACATGAACCTGAGGAAACGTGGAATATGTATATACTTGTCAGAAGACAGTTCCTTATTTGACTTCGCTACCGAATATGACACCATAGACACTTCAAATACATATTCTGAGAAAATAAAACTTTTATTCTTGATCATGGCTCATATTATACACCTATATCACGTTCTTCGAAGCTCAGAATCTACTCAAGCCCAACGAACTTAGACTTCGAGTGTGTCCACATCTGTCCTGACCAAACACCATGGATCTAGAGCAATTAAACGCATTTATGTGGGTCGTCATCAAGGCACAACTTAACATACTTGATAAGTCCTCCCTCCATGCCCTGGCCGGCCAAAATGTCTTCAGGGCAACTAAATCCTCCTAAAAATATACTGCAATATTGTAAAGGTAAGATCTATCACAAGTAAATCAATAAAACCATGGAACCAGCATACTGAATCGTGAAACAAATGCACGCATATTCCTCTAATTGGATTCCGGATCAGATATCATTCCTTGTATTCAACTAGTAAAGACAAAGAAGTGTAAAGTGGATACATCGAATCCGAAACATTGTGCAAAATTTGAACTCAAAGTTTATACATCCTGTTAATACCCTATGCTCATAAATAAAGAATGGGGCTTGCCATCCTCCAAGAATGCACGTGCAATGTATGGGGCATATCGACTGGGGAGAAGAACTCCATCTAAGCATTCAATGCACACTTGAAGGTAAAATAACGCTAAGAATGTATTAAAATATGGAAGATTTATCAAAATCCTTATTTCAAGCATCGATTATCGTTCATTTATCGTCATCAAAAACAACATTAGACATGATCACTTTTGATGTCGTTAAATTTGACCAATGACTAGATCTGGTAAGATTTTGAGGACAAGTGGATTCAGCAGACGGGAGGAATCGAATCCAATGACCTGACCACTCATCTACACATCTACGAAGCATCGTTAGATTGTTAGCTGGCGAGTTGCACACTAGACCCTCTTGTCGTCTCTCTCGAGACCACATCGAATGAAACAAGCCTCGACGAAATCCAGTCAAGGGTTGGAATCCAGTGGCCCCCAACTCCTCCTCCTCCTCGCCGAAACGACCTCGTAGCCATGAACAGACTCTGCTGGTCACGTACAGGTTGCTTCAGCTCGGGGAATGGAAATTCAAGGCTCAATAAGGGCGGCATTGCATGTCGGCAACGAGGCCTGCTGCAACGAAAGGACAATAAGGAACCGATTTGTTGCAGTAAATGCTGAAACGGGATGGAGTTCGTTCGAGTCTATGTCGTTGCGGGCCTAGGGGAGCAATAAAGAACGCATAACGGATGCGCTCGTAACTAACGCACAGCGTAATGGGAAGCGAGGTCGAGGGTCGAAGAGATCCGCATTCCTGCTGCGATTTCCCAACAGCTCCGACTTTTTCGCACACCTCAAACGGGGACAGTACGATCGATGTACATGAGCACTCATTGCGCTGGCATCTTCCGTCGCTCCCTCTTGGGAACAGCAGCTTCTTCTCAGGTACCGCCCCGCCTCTAATCTAATGATTGGATTTCAATGAACTGCATGAAATGCGAGACCTCACCTCACCTCACCTCACCTCAACTCTTCCTTCCTTCCTTCCTCAGCTGCAGTGGACCGGAATTGAATCTGCTCGAGCTGATTTTCCGTGGGTAGCATCGCCGCAGCTGACGGCCGAATTTAGAAGGGCACGACTGTGCTGTGCTGTTTGGCGTGGGGGTCACTTCACACCCGAGCAGTTTGGACGGACTCGAGAACCCGCCGAGTGCAAAGATGGAAAGCGGAGGTGGTGCAAGGGTAGATGAATCGCACTCGAGCTCAAGTTCGGCCGCTAGATCCACTCGAATCTGGATTGGATTCAGCCCCTGTTGTCATCTGAAAAGTGGCCACTTCTGATTGGCAGGCTTATTGTCAACGACGCCGCAGACCTCAAGTTAGGTTCCCTTCGGCGTTCCTGCGGCCGTAGCGTATTCCCTAGAGGATCTCCCTCGAGAATCAGTTGCTCTAGGATGGTGAATCGGCTCCACACCTATCATAATCTCAGTTCTGAAACTTTAGGGCAGCCAGCAGGATTTTCAAATTTTTTTCAGCTTGCTAACTACGCTTTTCATCGACTCCTGCCTTCAGTTCGGAACTCAGAGATTACAGAGTTACTATATTCTTGCCTGTAGCGCAGATAATTTATTCCTCGATAAATCGCTTCAGCAGTACTTCGATCGTTTCCGTCGGTCGGTGCTCTGGACGACGTTTCGGAATTGTATTCTACGTCATAGAGACCGACATCATACTGTCATGGATTTTCTGGAGGTGAGTGTTGGTAATTCCGTCAGCCGGGTTGTTAATAAAGTATTGGATAGCAACTGCTGCAGCGGATGAACATGGCTGGAGCCCATGATGGCCGCTGTGGGGCTGGATGGGCGGTTTGTTGCTTCGAATGTCCCCAGCTGTGAAGAGTGTTTCATCCACAAGGTCGGTCAGCTGCAGTCCTCCACTTTGACCACAGGCTTGTTGCACGACCTGTGCTTTGATTCGGTGAGCATTTGCTCCTTGGTCATTGTAGATCTGTGAACTGTTGCAAGGGGAGAGGGGAGGGGAGGGGAGGGGAGGGGAAGGACTCCATTTACAGAATCTGCGGTTATAAAAACTTGCAAAAGAAGCGAGCGCTGTTTTCGAGGACAGAGAGAGACAGGGGAGGGGAGGGCAACCCTAGAGCAGTGCGAGCGAATTGAGTGGGGCCGTGCACTTTCCGGAGTAAACAATGCCATACAAAAGAATCAAGCCATGCACACTACACTGTAGGATTACCATGTCACGTTTGGGCCAGCAGATTCCTGTAGATTCACCGTCTTCACTACTCAAATTCCTTGACAAATTCAAATGCATCCTCTCTCCTCTCTCCTCTCTCGCACTGCCTCTGCCTGCCTGCCTCCCTGAGCCCCACCTTCCGCCCCTACGACTTATTTTCCCTACTCCGGCATTTGTAGTTCCTGCCATTCGGCTGCGTGGCTGAGCTGAGCTATGGCAGGCAGCAGCAGCAGCAGCTGCTTTACGAGTACAAGCTCTCTGTCTCTCTCTCTCTCTCAGTGTCTAGGCTCCCGAGTGAAACGACAGCGCACGATCCACAGAAAGGAATGCGGGACTTTAGGTCCCGTTCCCAGGCTACCGATTCTCTCTTCCTCTCATTCGCCCTCCGGCGTCTGGTCCCATGTCTCTCCGCTGGAGCCGGCTCGGCCAACCGATTCCGGCTGCAGCCAGACCACAAGAACAGTGCTGCCTACGAGCAAGAATTCACAAAAATATACTCTTCCCATCAAAATCGCCATTCGTCCACAAAACAGCAAATCCGAATTTGGAAACACGAGGGAAGAAGGCGCGCAGTGCAGTGCAGCCCCCCAGCAATTACGAGCGGGCAGCAGCAGCATTACCGCATCTCCGCCTCTTCCGAGTCCGCCATAGCAAAACTTTCAGATTCTTCGGCCACCGTCTCCCCCGTAGACACATTTTCTCTCAGCTCCGGCTCAAGAAGGAATGAAAAAATTTCTTGCTCGGATCGCTCCTGGTACGAATTCGGCCCACGGTGGGCCGATGATCCTCTCTCTCTCTCTCCCTCGCCGCAGAAAGCAGAAGCTCTCGATGGCTCTCGAAGACCCAATTCGCTTCGCTCATTTCGCATGAATGGTTGAGCTCAGGGCCATTTCTGCCGCTCGTCGCTCGGCCTCATTTTGGGTGTCGGGTGGACGAAAATGTCATCAATGTCGATCCACGGGCATCGTCCTAGGCCGCCTCCTCGTCGGGTGCGGATGCAGCCACGGCTGCTGCTGCTGCTGCCGCCGCCGCTGCGGCTCGACCGAGGATCTCCGTGAGCTCGGCGAAGTAGGGGCTCTCGTTCTGGTCGCGCTTGCCGTCCACCACGTCCTTGTACTCGGCCGTGAGCTTGTCCCATTTCTCGCGGCATTGCTTGCCATCGCGCTTGACGCCGAGCGCCGCTAAACCCTCGGCGAGCTCGTCCCAGAGGCCGGCCCGCTTGGTGCATTTGGCGAAGCGGGTCTCCATGTCGCCGCGGAGCTTGATCAATTGCAGCACCTCGGAGCTCTTCCAATTCTTGGAGCGGCGCTTGGGCCCGACGGAGCCGGCCTCAGGGCTGCCGACGACGGAGCCCGTGAGCGCGAGCGGCAGCACCGATGAGTTGTTGGAGGCGCGATCGCCGCCGACGAGCTCCTGCGTGAGCACGAGCATGGCATTGTTGAAGACGCCGAGCTGCGCGCGCTCCTCCGCCCTCCACTTGTCCTCCTTCTCCTGGCGAATCTGCTCGCGAATTTGCTCCTTGCGCTCGATGGACTCGAGCAGGTCGCTGAAGAACTTCTGCTGCCGCGCGATCACCGCCTCCAGCAGGCTCTGCACATTGTTGCTGCCGCGCTTCTTCTTTCTTGGCGGAGGCTTCGTCTCCTTCTCGTCCGCCTCCTCCAGCAGATCCCTGAAGCTCATGCGCCCTCGGAACAGCCCGTCGTCCTCCAGCTCCAGGTCCGGCGCAAAATCGTCCATGCTCCCCATCCCCTCCATCATCCCTCCCCTCCCTTGCCTCGCCTCCAAATCCCTCCCCGGCCTTCACTCCTTCCTCCTCCTCACTCCTCCTCGGCACTCCTCCACCATTTCAATCCCTCTCTCTTCCTTCTTCTTCTTCCTCCTCCTCCTCCTCCTCCTCCTCTACGCCATCTCGTCGCTCGCTGGCCTCCGATGCTCTGCTGCTGCAGCTGCTGCGCCTCTCGCCATGAAGAATCTAGGGGACTGAGAAAGCTGGCCTGCGCTGCCTGCTGCTTTATTCCGCCCTCCGGATCTCAGCAGAGGGACGACGACGAAGAGGAGCAGCAGCAGCAGGCGGAAGACTAAATGGAGAGTCGGTCAGAAATGGCGTGGAGCCGGGCGCGCACAACATCTGTCTGTTGGGATTAAGCTAATCTTGGGGCGGGGATGCCGACGGGAGACGAAGGTCGAGCTCGTTGTCCTGCTTCTGGACCTCTCCCTCCCTCCCTCCGAGCTCTGCGTGTTTCTGTCGAGAGCTTAACGCCTTGCGCAGCGGAGAAGATGAGTCCACCCTCACTCCAGTCCCTGTCCCTGTCCCTGTCCAGCCCCAGCCCCAGCTCCAGTCCCTCTCCCAGTCCTGTCCCAGCCTTAGCCCCTGTCCCTGTCCCGCTCCAGTTCTCTTCTGTTCCGCCTGCCCGCGCGAGTCCCCGGACGGGACGATCCCGCGCGGGCCGGGAGGGGGGGTGGGCTCCGTCGAGTCCGTTCGCTTCCCGTGCAAAGTCTCTCTGTCCCTCGCTCGGCGTCGGACTGCGTTACTGGACGGGGATGGGCTGCAACGGCGCAGTGAGTGGGTGGACCGATGGGGACGCGAGCGGTCCCCGCGAGGGACAGGGGCGAGCGACAGAATGAGAGCTGTACTTGGGTTTCATACTGTCCACCTAACTCGTCCTCCTCCGCCTCTGCACTCCCCGAAGGGGGCCTACGGCCGCGAGAGCGGGATGGCGCTCCGCTGTGCCGTGCGAGGAACAGGGCCGACGGACGGAGTACGCTTGGAGATCCGTCCGTCGGGGGGAGAAAGTGGTTGGGCCAAGGTGTGCCGAAGCCCCGCGGGGGCCGACCGATGCCGCTGCCATATTTGGTTAGGCCAGAGTCGAGAAAACGATGAGAGGTTAGTTGGGGTTGGGGTTGGGGTTGGGGCTGGGGTTTGGGTTGGGTTCGTTGGGCGATGGATGAGGGATGTGCTTCGTTTGGGGGCAGTCCGTCCTGGCTCCTGAGAATGGAACGGCATTCATGGAGGTTCAGCATTTGCGAGAGGAGCATTGTAGAAGTCGTGGACGAGGGATTGCGACAACGCAGGGCGACATGGATTGCCCGCCACGGCGACGGCTCGACTTGCAGAAACCGATTGCGGATGGAGAAAGGTCACGGGGGGGGGTGGGCTGACTGACACCGAAGGAACCAATTCTGCATCTCTGTGCTCGCGTGAACTGTTTCCGCCCACGATCTCGAGGGAGCGCTAAAGCGATCTCTGGAACCGACAAGAGCAGCCGCGAAATCGGGAGTCGATCATAAACGATCCCGTCTGGTTCGGAATCGAAGGACGGCAATGGGAATTCTGGGACGGGAAATAGAAAGTATTGCGGGGCATGTTCTCTCGGCTTGTCTTTTCACGCAGGGCAGAAGCTGGCATGGCATGCACGCACGCAGCCTGGCTCGCTCGCTCGCTGGACGATCCGCCGATAAGCTGCGAGCCGCGGGGCAGGACGTGCTCGCAATTATCACTTCCATCCACCGATGCTTTATTTATGCCCGCCCCCATGCACTCTCTCTATCTCTCTCTCTGCTCTCTGAGACGCTGTCTCGTCGTGCTCTGGCCTTCCCTTCCCGTCTCACGACACCTTCCAGGAGCCTGTCTCCATCGCAGCCCTTGATCGAGGTGCCCCTCTCTCAGAATCGTGTCCTTCCGGTCGACCTCGACCCACTTGACATACTCTTGCAACCCTCGCAGCCTGCAGAGGAGAGCGATGGAATATCTGTTCCCTTCCCACGTGATTGTCCTCCCTCCCTCCCTCTCTCGCTCACCGCCCCCGGCACATCACCGATGCAGGAAAAGCTCGACACGAAATAGGTTCGCAAGGTCTCTCGCATGCACTGAGTCCATATCCATCTCGATGGTCTGAATCTTCGCACCTCGGGCCTGCAGATTGCAGATTGCACCTGAAAGCTGAGACTGTACTATCGCATCAGCCCGTGGTCTCAGCGCAGAGCAAGCAAGTACACCCCGAACGTGCTCCTTAAACCCTGAGCGCAGCTGTTAAACCCCTGCACATCGTCCTCCACTCACTCGGTCCATGGCAAAAATGCCACCGACCTCCAAACCCTCTCACTTTCTCTTCTCACCGGACGGAATGGGATTCTGCAGTCACCACTCGCTCGCTCGCTCACTCACTCACTCACTCACTCGTCTCGCAGCATCGTGACGGATACATGCTACGAGGTAGCACTCATACTCCATCAGAGTAAGATGCAGTGCAGTACACGCAAATCCCATCGACGATCGTGCAATTAAAGAGAAAGAGAAAGAGCGACAGAGGCCCATCCGGCAGCTGGATCTCAAGGGTCTGAAGGGGATGGAAGCTCAACGAACTCAACGACGGCTGGTTCAGAGTGGAGGTCATGGTTGTGAGCTGATACAGTACAATATACTGCGACGCCCAGATCCGAGTGATATGAGCATTACGTAGTAGTGAGAGAAATGGATGGCGGCCTCAGCGGAGAGAGAGAGAGAGAGAGCTCCACACAGTTGGCCATGGGAGACGGAATTGGTCGTCTCGTGCGCGATTCGCTCTGCCCTCGTGATATCGGTGCACAGTACGGCCAGCCTAGATTCAGGACCTTGTGTAGACTGAATTCCTTCTCTAGAAGCGCGCGAAGTAGGCCTCACATTATTATTAAATTGTCAGAGAGCGAACCATCTCGTGGTGTGTCCATCCCTTGGCCTCGAAGGTGGAGCTCTCTCACCGGAGTTATATCACCATCCCTCCCTCCTCCAGCTTCACCTTCAGCTTCGACTATCTAATCGCTGCTTCCAGGCGCTGGTGCCGCTACTATTGTATTACAGCGTGCACCCTTTATGTGGATGAGTCTTGATGCGTGCCATTGGGTGCAAGGGTGGTGCCGACTTTTCATCAGTCCTAATGGCCCTGCTCGAATCACAAACCACTCGAATCTGCTGTGTGCAGATCATGTTGCTCTGCTCTGCTCTGCCCTCTAGCAAACCGTCGGGCACCAACAACACGACTGTGATTCCTTCCATCGCAACAGAATTGTCGAGCAACAGGAATAATTGCTCCCTGTGGATCGAATTACACGAATCTGTACAAGGATTATGGACAGAGTGAGAGAGAGAGGCAGGAGTGTTGTACATCCGAGCTCGCCCCTACCGTAGAGCTGAGGCGAACACGAACACGAACACTGCATTGTCCGCAGCTCACAGATTCAGGGATCAGACCCATAGCCATGTTCGTTGGCTCTCGGGCTGTGCTGGCGGCTTAACGGTACGAAACCTAGACCGATGGTGGAGAGCCGAGCCACACATTTTGCTCTCCCCCACAAGAAAGACTATAAAAGCCAGCTCATGAATGAGGAGGAAGGTGGACGCCGGTCACGACCGACGAGGTTCCTTGCATAAGCTCAAAGCAAGCGTACCACGGACGATTCAGGGGGCGGCTACTGCAGACTAGTACCGGTACTGATGCTGGTACTACTTCTGAGATGCGAGCGCAAATTGCTCCATCGGGCATATATCGGACTTGATGGAGTGCGATGGCTGCCGTATGCCTGCCTGCCTGCCTACCCCGATGCTCCATGAATCGGTGTGGGTGCATGTATTCTCTCGAGATTGAGCTGCACCCGCTGCTCAGGGAATTTACCACTCTGTGATATGCTGATTTGGGCCTTCTGTCTAGTCATCTGACAGTAGCACAGCTACCGACCTCGTTCTGAAAATCACGTCCCCAAAGCGACACACCTTCACGGCACTCGAAATCGGTACCCATCCGTGGGTTACCTCGGTTTGTTGTGTGTGGATGAGTGTTTTCTCTACCCGCTCAATTGCTTATGCAACTTGCCCGTGCTTCTGGTTGGGGGCCACGAGGGTCTGTGGATCATCATCACCTCTCGTCACTGCTCTCATTCGCATTTCTCAGTGCTTCAAATTCCACTCAGTCCTTCCATCCGCCCACATCGAGGTCACGTTACCCGAAGCCCCCCGAGTTACCGTAGAAAGTTCATTACGTCCAGTCATACACTCTGGCCGTCTGAAGTCCGGCAAACCATCACCATTATCCCTCCTTATCATTCCGGTTAACGTCCAGATCATGAGCCTGGAAACTCTCGGGCACCAGCCTCTTCTCGTCTTTCTCTCAGTGTACGTCGGCTCTCTGCTTCTCCCACTTCTTCCGGGGGCTTGTGACAGATCCCGTAGCCTTGAAGCTAAGAGCAGATGCCATCCACATCAGAGATGGACCGAATAGTATTATAAATAAAAATATAACTTTGTCTTTCATCGGAGCTAGATGTACTTCTAGAAGAACCTGTGACTCTGATGCGATTGTGAGGCGATGAACGATTTTCCACGGCCCTCGTGCCAATCAATCGCCAACATCGTGTGTGACTGAGCTGTCCGATGCTCACCCAATGGAGTAAGTAATGATTGAGAAGCCTCCTCGGCCGAAAGTGACCTTAACTACGCACGATCTACTTGTGAACCATACTCGAGGCCTCTGTGAAAACAGGGGCAAGTCGAGATGGTCTCATCGTAAACTTCCTCGAAAGGGCTTCTGACTGTGGCAGCCATTCAAGCTGCAGCCACAAGGCCCTGGTCAAAAGCCAGTGGACGACACTCCAACAACACTCCATACAGTCCAAGGTTACTGCTACATTCTAGCGATCCAAATCGTCGTGATTCGGATCAGCGGTAGCGCAAATCTCCATGATTGTGGAAGTTTGCGTGAGGGAACATGTGCATTCCACAGGCCTCGGAGATGTATCGATTCGATGTTTGTAGATCCTGCCGAAAACACCACCGGGACTAGTACTATCTTCATAGTACAACCACTGTCTCGGTTCTCTGCAAAGCTGACATTCTTACGGTGGAGAGAGAGAGGGAGACCGTGTTCTGTACCCACCTACTACCAGACCCCATAAGAAAGATGCCTCTTCCCTGGTCCATAGGACATCGTATACATTGAGTTTCGTTAAAAGAACCTTCAGTATCAGGCACTTACAATAATGCTGCTAGGTGTCACCATCGCCGAGAAGCTGGTAGTAGATAATGACCAAACTTCAAACCTTTTGTTAGTGTCCCCTTCTATTTTCTATGCCATGGGTCTTCCTGCAGAGGCTAGCTCACTGACAATCTCAGATCAAGTACAATGCATACTTCTTAACACCATGGTCCCATCGTGTTCCCACCAAAAGCTCACTTCCAAAAGTACCTGCACTTCTTCACCCACCATCCGTACTGCAAAATATGGCCTTGTATGATTCAGAACTCTGTGTTTCAACGGATTAAGTCCGTCATTCCGTCTGAAACAGAAATGAACACAGTTCTTTCCTTGGGACCAGGTTGAGCACTGACAAGGGATCATTACAGCAAACTTCCATGTAGAAGGGTGGCGTTGAGCTTCTCGATACTGTAGTACTTCCCATTTCCCATTGGAGGTGAAATCGAGTTCCACTAACTAGAAAGATGATGGATGATTACATTAGTCATATTTTATAGAAGCCCTGCTTCGACAGTGCCTCAATCACCGGAATCAAAGTACGGACCAAAGATGTTCCTCTCCCACTGCAATGGAGCTGACGCTGGTTCAGCAGAACATGGTTTGGATTCGCTTCGTTTCAGTCAACATACTTGCGTCAAGACTGCCTCACAGATTCCGATAACGACTTGCATGAGAAAACTACTTAATTGATAACTAAGACTTTCAGGTGAGCTTCCTCGAGATGTATTTTTACCTTGCTGTTTAGGTCTGGACCTGCAGGAAATAAACTGCAATAAACCAGTGAAGGATGAAGTGGATTATTACTGCCCTGTGACAGATCAGGGGCACAGATAGGACTAAAATACTCATGGTGAGCTGAATTAATGTTTCTGTTTATGAGACCCAACCTGAAGCTCACGGGTGCCACCACGTGATCTCTCTGGGGGCTGTCAACACACTGTACATGCAGGATTAGAAATAACAATCAGTGCCTTTTGAGTGTCGAAGGCCTCAGATGAACTGTACAAAGGATCCATAGAGTATCCCAGAGATACTGGAAATCAGCAATTGAGAACATAATGAACCTTTCAGAAGGACAGTACGATGAATGAGCACTGTCTCCGCTTAGAATGCAGCGACTTAGTTTCCCACATAAAGAGTGCATTCCATGACAAATGTGCTCGAAGTCCCCTTCTTAGGGCAAGGTCTTCGTGTCGCCATCGCTTACTACAAGCAGAGGGTCCAAGGTTCATCTGTCAGCAGCTCGGAAGCCTCTGACTCAAATCTTGGAGTGACAGACGTGGCAATACTCGGGCTACATTCAGAGAGAAAACTCGTCGAATATTTTCGCCGCCCTGAATCCGCAGACAGTCGTGAACGTTTGATGAGCAATACAATAGAAGAATTTTGAAGAACTTGCGGGAAGTTTCACGGATGGACAGATATCCCCATCGAAATACAACCCCGTCGGCAGAAAGCAGGAATGTCAGACTATCACCTTCAGGAATGCATCGATCAGGATAGTGATGACAGACTTGATGGAAGAAGGATAGCCTTGAGAAGCTGCGAATTCTCTGGTCTTCGCACCCTGAGAAACGCAAATATGAATGAGAAGAATAATTTGACTAATACTCGGACCATGGCTTCGAGAAAGAACAAGGGAGCTCCACCACAGCTGAACCATGAGACAAAATTCACCGCGCATGAAACTCTCCTGGCAATTCTGCACGCTGCGAAGCCAGCTATTGTTGAGAAAGTGCACATCTCAACCTTTCTACCCGTCTCGGAAAGAGGGATCTTACATCAATTCATCACTTCTCTGGGCACTTGCTGCGGGTCCTAGGCAACCATGATAAATTAGACGCTCAGTTGAATCGGCTCAGACATTCTAGGTACTCTCGCAGACCATCTGATCGGTCTCGGGTAAGCTGAGAAGCGGTGTCCAGAAAGTGCTCTTGGAGTGGAGAATATAACTTACGGGAAGCTCTGACTAAACGTGCGTACAGGTTCCGATCCTCACAAGGTCAAAGCTGAGTTAGACAGCTAGCCTTCAGATGTTAGCTCGTCAGCTCTTGTTGTTAGCAGGTGTTTACAGCATGTGCAATAATAGAAAGTAGTTCTCTTTCTGATTGTTTGACCCTCATGGCCACTCGTTGCATGCAGCTTTGAGCGTTTTGCACCACAACGAAATATCGACAAATCTTCGAGGATAGAAGAAACTACTCAAGCTTTCGAACTCATCGAATCGAATGACCATGACAGGAGGGCGAGCTGAAAGATGTCTGATTGGTAAGACTGGTTTTTCTGCAGTGAGACAGAACACAAGCACATATATTATTCTCTTCCAGATGTAACAACTAACATAAATTGTTGCCTACAATTTCACCGTTTCCGGCCATGATACCGCACCCCACAGCGTCACTCGATGCGAAAGGACGATCAAACTTTCAGAAATAAAATCCGTATCCGACGAATAATTTATGTCAGAGCATTCAATCATGGCAGCTTAAAGGAAGCTGGGTTTATAGAATTTCATCAGACAGAATCATGCACACATATTAATCTGTTCGCCCCACATCGCTTCGTTCATCCTGCAAAGCAATGACCACCGAAACCAGAGAGGTTTAGATGCTTCCCTGGTTGCTCTCCATCGCCTCCTGACGAAACTCCTGCATGCTGCACGAAGCTCCTGAGTCGGAATTTTAGCCTACGTGAGCGAGGGTCCATCCTCATAACGTGAGTCCATGACACAGGTCAGGCCTACGGCACTGACCGCGGAACCAACGCAAAGCAAGGCAGTGGACGGGCGAGCAGTCAGAAGAATTATCGAGCGACTCTAACTGCTAGCATGACCATCATTGTCAGAGACGGCGGGAATCAACGGATGTGTGTCTGAAGCGGGGTGCTCGCAGCAATTCCCTGCAAGGTACAGAAGCAGTCGAGAAGTAAAGGTGACTTGTTTTCATGAGTCCAGTCCAATCGTGACGCAGATCGACCTGAGCTCGCATGTCGGTCCCTTTGGCACTTATCTTCTGCAGCTACCCTTGCTGCACTTCTTCACACTGCGCCATAGACAGACAGAAGACGCGTTCCCTAGGTCAGACATGTGCCATCGAAAGTGTGACAGCTGCACACAGTAACCAGTAATTCAATAATGCTACTGATCAGCTGCCATTGTACGACCAAGATGTTCGAGAACTGATCAGATTCGGAGAGTTCAGAAAGGGCATCCAATCTGCCCAACTTCTCTACTTCGTGCTGTAAATTGATGGTTATCATGCACCTTTCCGCCTCATTTGAGTACCCTTGGATTTCCATACACGCTCACACAAGTGATGTTAACTTGAGGGATATTGTTTCAATGATACTCGTTCAATTCTCTAAGCATCGCCTTGGAGCTGCAAGAGCACTGATTGACATCAAGGTTGTAAGACAATTAAACTCCATATCTTCTCAGTGATTTGTATCAGATTTTGCATAGCCCTTACAGAGGACCGGATCGGTATGTGACTTCAAGTCCTGACAAGCAGGTGCTCATCAGTGCTACAATTGTCGGCATCCCAAGCAGAGACTATATACATCAAAGATCAACATTGACCTCACATTTAATTTTATAAAAACTCATCGTCTCACTTTAAGTAGTTGGTCCAAGTAACGCGGTTATCTAGCGAAAGAAAATACTTATTCCTGTTAGCTCGAAGGATGGCATCTGATATCAACTCAGTGAAGGCTTTAAGTATGAAATATGCAATTAAAGCTCTTCCATGCATCACAAAATCGATACCGCCTATTCCTCATCTTCATCCTTTCAATTTCTTAAACTTGATTTTTAAACCCATGAAAGAATAAGAAATCTGATCAAATAATGAACCAAGTAGCACCGTGTTAACATTTCATAGCGGCCGAGAAGTTGTCCTACATTATGTGTGTACCGAATGTTGGACTTATTCTTCAGTTGAAGGTCTAGTTCCCAAGCTAACATCGAACGCTAGAGTATAGTTTCATCTGTTTTTCTTATGATCATTAAGCCATCATGCTTATTCCTCATTGAAAATCAGTAATATGCTAGCATTTTGGTGGAGTGCTGATACTAATGCAATATTTATTTATTTATTTATTTATTTATAGTTGAATATGTTGATTTACTTAAGTGATGTTAAAAAATATTCTGAAATCTTCAGCTAATTTTAAGTGACTCGTAGATCTCTAGAAGTTGAGAGGAAGTTAAGATATTCAAGTAGCGAGATTATTTTTGCAAGTTTAGCAAATTTCATGCATACACTTGTTGTCATTGTGATCTTTGTTTTATCTCATGAATTGAAAATCTAGAACGAAGCTGAGTATTTCCAAAGACAAACGGTAACTTCATTCAGTATATGTTCCTCTATCTCGAATGAATTGTATCATACAGAGATGAAGAGGCAAAAGTTAAACTGAAATTGGTGCCGATAATTTTAGTAGTGAAATAATTACTCCGACTTAGATCGTCAAAGTTCATAAAGTATGTTTATTTGGGTTTAGGGTAGCTTAAACCCTTATCTTTTGGCTACAATCCTGTTAACAAGTGTGCTCGAATATGTTGAAACTGACAATCTTTTCTCTATCCAAATAATATCACATTGACAAAATATGTTGACATGGGAGATGTTTATATTAAGACGGGAAAAAATTGTAAGTACTCTAGCGTGCAAGGGCAGGCGGAAATTAGGATCGTAATCTCCAACATTAGAACTGCTCAACTATTTCTTATCCTATCCGGAGTCGAGTTCATGCTAGGAAACATGATGTATCAGTGAAGTGACGCAAAATGTTGTGAAAATTGTATTGCAGTGCATATTTCCAAGCACACTTTCTTCATTTATCATTGATCAGCAGGGTACAACAATTTGTATCCGCTTTGGTTACTCACAACTCTATATCTAGAAACTAGCATTGGCAGTTTTGGTCAAGTAGATAATATATATAATTTGGCATTGCCCCATCAATCATTTTTAAAAAGAAACAAAGTGCGCATCCAGGGCCTGGGCTCCATTAGTATCACATGGATTGGTTTATATAGCACTTCAGATATCCACACAAAACATGAGCGTATTACTTCGCATCACAAAACAGTTTGTTTTTTTGGAACATGTTCATTTCAGATACCAAAAGGTTGATTGAACATAATTTACATAATAAAAAATAGAAATAATACCACATATATTTACGTCTTCTTTCCTTCTTTATCTCACATAACTTTCTAAATTTATTCACATAACTATAATCCTCTACTGTCGTCTGTCTACTAGGTTACTATCCAAAAAAAATTCAATAATTAATATCCTGCGTCATGTTATCTCTAACTTCAAAACCTCAAACTTAATATTTATCTATGTTAATCAAAATCAAAAAACACAATTTCATACATACATATATAATTCAGATCAGCAGTTCAGGCTAATCTTGAACTCCTCACATGGCTACAATTTAGATTCGCAAAGATTGATATTCAAAGAAAACAATGAAAATACAGCAGTCATGCTTCGTGGTCGAAAAGCCCATTACAATAATATTTTGATCGGTATAAATACAAAAATGTCTTGCAGTGCAAACAAAGACCACGCAAATGATTCGTCCACCTCGAAGGAAATGTGCCCTTGCAAGGAAGGATTTTCTATGGAATCAACAGGTGTCGAAGAATCAGCACGCCCAAGAGCTTAAACGGGCAACTGCTAGTGCTCAGCTACGAGCACGAGGATAAGCACCGAAGCTAACGATTCGGTCGAACTCATCTTCGGAGCTCCCCTACTAGACAAAATTCAAACCCTCTGATCAGTTCGAGCTTCCGACAGGCTTATTTAACTATTATTGAATTATAAATTAAATTATTGACAAGTAGATCCAAAAAGTAGCTTGTTTGGATGGGCCACATCTGCGGAGATCTACGGATTATTTAATTCAGGCAGAAGTCAACCACAAAGTTTTGGATTTGTGAATAGGTCTACTACCAACACGGTTCAGAAAAACAATAGGATCGGTACCATCGTAGGAACCTCCCAAATATTTGCCAAGATCTGTCGTCAAACTTTTGTACAATGTTGCTTGCACAACATTTTAGCACCATGTTTCACGACATACAGTGTATATGGGATTCTCAGGGAGGATTTCTGTAAGTCGAGGAAGATTAAGTGCGTTCGCGTCTATCTTCCCGAAGAGGGGATTGGAAGACAGTGGGCCTCTATTTTAAGGACATGAGAGTCCTACAGGATGGGGACGAGGACTACCCAGAGGGTAAATGGAAACCCAGAGGCTACTCTGATGTGGCAACTCCCAGCGAGAACACTGAAATCGTTCATTATCCAGAAGAGGAGGCCTCTGGTAATCAGGAATCAGCTGACGAGAGAGCGATGACACTCGTGGCATTTGTGGCAATTAAGGGGAGCTGCTATGCTGCGACAACTATCCGCTCACATTTCATCTCAATGGTATGAGAATGGAGGTAGTCCTTTTCACAATATTGGTTTCACCTCATCTTATTGGGAATTTCGCCAAGTGGTTCGCACTCATTTCAGACATCAGTTTGCAGTTATCTTCTGCAGGATTTTTTTCGTCGTATGGGAGGGAGATATTTGGAAAATCCATAGTGTTCTTGGCTCTGGTTCTCGCTTTCTGTTCGAGGTTCTCAACCCAGGTGGACATGCAATATGCATGTTCAGCTTGTGGATTCATGTCAACGAACTTATGCCATATGTTCTTCTAATTTGCCAATACGATGAAGAAGTTTGTTTTTGGTCACGTCGAAGTCTAAACCAACATATTTTCCAAGTTCTATATCTTGTAAAAAACTTGGCTACTTTTACTAGCAAGCTCCCTAATCGTCAGTCCTGCAATTCTCTGGGCAAGAGAGAGTTGAGGTGACGAGATCACATGCTTGAAGGCCATCTTTTTCAGTGCGAGATACTAGAGCGAATCACACAGAAAACTGGTGAGGTGTATATTTTCGATAGGAAAGTACTCGCAATTCACCAGCCGAGTGGATTCCATTTTATGTCAAGCCAAAGAGAATACATGATGCACAGTTCACCACGCACCAGGCCTCTCTATGTAGGGCGGATTCCGCATGTTCCGTATCTCAACAAAATAAGGATAATTGTCAAATCAAATAGGAAATATACGGAACTTGAAAGAAATCTCTCATGCTTTTGGCCGACTTTTATGACAATGTAATATATCTTCTAAAGAGATGGGTGTTATTTTCTATATGTGAATGGACTTTTCCCATTTCAGCATTGAGAAATCACTCTTCACACCGTTGCCATGTTCGAAAATGGTCAAACTAATTCTCCAAAAAACTGCATGAGTTGAAGTAATTTATTCTTAATACCTTGAATCAGACTGTTTGGTCAGAAAATTTTTGTAAACCGAGAACATGAAGAATTTACTTGATGGGAACCAACAGGTTTCATTTCAATACAATATCCGGAGTAATTTAGACTCATGGTGTTAGTTGTTTTCTTAGACACGGCTGCGAACGAGTTGCGAGAGTAATCCCGCGGACACTCTCCACTCTATAGAGCAAATGAATCGGTTATAAGAACATGGTTTAAGGTGGCCGTGGAATGAGGTACAATCTAGTAAAATGAAACATGTTGGGTACTATCAAGACGATTGAGTTTCCAAGGGGTTCCATCAAGTAATTTACTCCCAAGAACATCGACTTAGTAATGTTGTATGTGTTCTTTCATTATTTAATCTATGTCCTTTTGTTCCCAATAAGATTTGAAACGTTCTTGATATTTTAGAACTAGTTGAATAATTTCTAGTGTTTTCAAAGCTAAAAGTTACTCGGGTAACCAAGGAGACAAAATACTAGAAATTGCCTGGTTGATGTCATAAGGTGTCACCACAAAGTTTTAGTTGAGTAATTTTGTAGTTTCTCTAGTAAAGTCACCTAGATCAACAAATATATTGTCACAAATGGTCACTGCACAGTTTTTTAGTGAGTGACTCACTTAGAATCTCTAGCAAAGCCACTAGATAACAAAGACTTTTTTTGGAAATACTGAACTTTCTGAAAACGATATGCGATAATCGAGAGTCCAATTGTCTCTCGAGTTCCGTATTTGCCATACTTAGAGAGGCCTGCCAGGCACCCATCAGAGTTGGCATTTGCTTATTTCTTTTCCAAAGCTGAAATGAAGCAATGGTAATAAAGAAAGCTAGATGGAAAGACCTCACTCATTTATTGTTCGTATGATAGTTTGTATGATATCTATATCGTACAAAGAAGAAGTTTTGTGCAAGATATTTACAATACAATGCAAACCTCCAACTAGAAAGAGTAATGCAGTGAGACAGGTGTGCACCAGTTTCGTATCCCTTTGAGAAATGAATGATACAATAAAGCATGTCTTCTTAAAGTGGATGCACAGTTGGAATTGCATATAATACAGAAGAATCGTGTGGTGAGTTTCTCCTTCAACCTCGGTTTCTGCAATCCACTTGCTGATTAAACTCCTTTAGTACTGCATGTAAAAACAGTACTATTGTTTAACTTGTAGATTATAGTTTTTGTTTGTTTCAGAGTGCTTATGACATTTGATAAACTCAGTGGAAGTGTTTTTTCAAATCAGCCCATTGAATTTTCATGGAGATATATTCAATAGCCTTGTCATGAATCAATGGAAAATATTCGTGGGAAATGGATACCTGCTTTTATGTAGCTACTAAATGATATCAGTACCTAACTATTCATCATTTTTGCTATTTGAATTTCTTTCTGTTCAGATACATTATGAAAAGAGAAGTCTGGACTAAAAATCATGCATTAGACATCTTTTAAAAGACGTGTTTTATCAAATTTTGAATGAAAATATCAGCGGGAAATCAATTTAAAATTTTAAAACTTATTATATTGGATTTATCATTATTTTCAACACAAATGTTTCAAATAATATTATTTTAATGAAGTAAAATGTCTGAATTTGATTTGTAATTTTCGATTTTGAAAAAAAATCAAAAATCACGTTTTTTTCAAGACGTAACATGAAATAAAAGTTGAAAGTTGAGAATCTCTTTCAATTTCATTCATGTAGGATAAAATGAAAAATTTTTTATCCTACAACATATATAAGTATTACTTTATAATGAGAAGCATAAAATTTTATAGCTAATCTTATTGCAAATATACATACATACACATACATACTTTGTATATATGATCTTGAATATAAATTTGATAAAAGAAATCTAATGCATTTCAAGTCAATATTTGATGAGGTATAGTTGTTACATTATAAAGTGATTATTTCTATAGTATATATGAAGAAGGAAGTAAATGGTTTTGTGATATTATCACATTCATAACTTTTAATAAATATTACAAATTTTTTTAATATTACACGTAATATAAAATTAAACATTTGTGAATGTCATAGATGCTAGCTCGTAAAATATAAATTTTGTAAATTAGTGTTAACAATCTATATTATAGTCTACGGTTCATATGTGCGATAGACTAACAAATATGTATATAATTTACAAGATTCTTAATTTTTTAATTGCATATTTAGTCATCAATCAAGTTAATTGTTGATATGAGAAAGTATCAAATTTGATGTATTTATTAAAACTAAATTAAAATAACAGTTATTTATATCTGTTAAAATCAAAATCAATATGATCAAGTCACACATCGCAGTAAACTAGACTTTCTAACTCTTTAAGAGGTTTAGCCAAAAGATTTGCAATATAACTATATCCATGGAGATAATTGATGCAAGTCTATCATGACATTCACAAGCAAAGAATTTACATGCAAATTTTTAACATATTATGTAAAATTTTTCATATCTTTTACTAATGAAAATTATTAATCTATGAAAACCAACCCTTTTAATAATCTAAATGATAAAAAAAAAGTGGCATGATTTTTAATTTATTAAAAAATTACTTATATAAAAAAATTCTTTGTATTAGATTCAAATTTCTATCATGAAGTATATGTTTTAAATACATCAAGTAAGATTTTTCAAAATTTTACTTTACTGAAACAGAGCGATCGTTAAGTTTTGACGTGAAATATTTTTACACATAATCATGAATTTCAATTATTCTGAAAAACTACATACATTAATTATCTAGTTTTAGGTTTAGTTCAAAAAATGTGCCAAAAATATACATGTGTGAAGATAGTTTCCCTGGAGTTCAACAGTGGAATCTCAGATTTGATTATTCTTATTATTATTATTATTATTATAAAAAATCATCTCACAAGTTTATATTATAAGGAAATTAGAAAGCAATCTATATTCAAAAAAACACTACATGATAGCGAGTGCGGATTAGTAATATATCACACGCAACGGATGATAGTATAAATTTATATTTTGAGTGAACAAAGCAAGTTTACATTCTTTGTGGAGCATGAGACAAACAAGGTGAAACAGTACCACTTGCTGCATAGTTGGTTACGATCTATAAATAAAAGTTGTTTTCATATTCTTTTGAATATGTGACCAATCTCGAGCATGATTTGCTCACATGATAGAAACCCGTCTTGCTTTGATCATGCAAATCCAAAAATCTTCTAAGTGTAAAGTGTGACGGATTCTCAAACTTTTCGATCCCTTTTCTTTTTTACCAAAAATCTTCTGCGTGTAAAATGTCAATGATTCTCAAACTTTTAGATCCCTTTTTAGTGTAGACTTTTTTTAGCCATACTTGAGTAAACTAGAAGTGGATCATGCGTACATGTTGAATTTTCAAATACAGCGTAATCTAAGATGGTATACCACTATCTTTGTTGTTGTCTACTTGGACTATGGTGGAGTTTGTTTTCTAAACATGCGAATGGCTGCTTAATTTGATGTTGTCTTTGAAATTCTTCCAAATTTTGTATGGTAAAGAGGGAGGTAATAAATAATAAAATAGATATATGAACCTGGATATAAGTAGGTCGGTATGGATTTCACATACACAACGATAACTAAATTTGTACAATTCACAAGGTAAGATAGTGTTTCAAAAAAAGGGGCCATGCACAAAACAAACTAACGGCTGTGTTATAATAAAACTGTCCAAATATTGACTCCACATGCATGTCATTGGATACTTCACAGTACTATCATTGGACAAGTTTTAAACAAACGCCTAAAAAAAAGATTGATAACTGTCGTAAACTAGTGTGTCATATTATTTTTCTGATTAAAAAATTATGTAAAATCACTATAAGGATGATGATTTCAGATCATGTTTGGGTTCTTCGTGACATCGTTTATGCCATATAATCAGTGAATAAATTGATGCTTATATCAACGAAGGTATTCTAAGATGTTTGCAACAAATTTTGGAGACAAATTACTTAGAATCGAACCAAAAACTTTAACTAACATAGAACTTTCGTTTTAAAGAATTTGTACAAGTTGACGTTACTAGGACTATGCTTGCTTTCCAACCGAAAAACTTTTCAATAGCTGCATTTCCTAGATATGATACATAGATTAATTTTCCAACTACAATTACTGTAGAGACTATAAGGGGACAAACTATTTCGAAAGAGGAGACTGCAGATAGTGGATAGACTAGAAAAGAGCACTGTAAGCAGTTAAACAGAGACAATGGATTATGATTGTGCCACCTCCACCGCTTGTCGTCGAGTCCAGTTTTTTATAGTACTTTGGCGGCCACCACAGGGTCAATGATAAACGGTAAGAAGATCGGTTCATAACGGCGTACTGGCGTTGGACCTGACCGAGACTGATTCGGTCGTACAGGTCACCCGCCGGCAACTCATCCTCTTATTACCCCTTCCCAGCCGGTGTTCCCGGGTTACTCATGACGGGCAACTTTCACCACCAACGGCAAAGTTCGTCCACCCCTTTTACCGCCATCTATATACGCACCATCGATTAATACATTCTAGTACAATTTACAGATACAATGTACAGATACCACCAACCAGACTCGCCACTGTGGTTCCAACCCCGTGAGTTGAGTACAGCTGGGTCCTGTTCCCGGTGGCATGTCCACTCGGAAACATCGTCCACTCGCAGCGAATCTTCGAGACGCACGTGGCATGCCATCGACATGTCACGGAACAAGAACGAGTTGAAAAGTTCGCGCCTCTGCTAACCCGTGAGTTACATTGACTCAACCCGAGCTGACTTGGACGGCCACGATTTGGTGAAAGAGAGAAGATCGGGTGGGAGCCGCGCGATAAGACTCGCGCTCACTACGGACAAAGGTCAGATATGAGCACACACAAGAAAACGACAATATTTGAACGGAGGACCTCCTGTGCCGAGGTGGCATGACAGGATTGGACTCCGCTTGCGCAGATTGCGGAAAGACCGGTCCGTGGCGCGACACGTGTTCCGGTCAGCTCGAAAGCGAGGGCGATCAGTACGGCGGTGTCGGAGTGACCGTTGGAGCCCGAGAACGAGAGAGTGGGTACGAATTCTTCATTCCCGTGGATTCTTTTTTCTCGTCGCCGTATGGGAAAGGGAGCAATCGCATTCATACCAAAGGCCCGAATCTGCTTTTGGAGTACAGTCGAAAGGCGAAGGCCCCGCAGCACTCACCGTCATCATCACGCACGCACTCGCAAGAGAGTGCCGCTCGCGTCGCTTTCCAGCTCGAAGTACGCGCTCGCCTGCGTCCCATTCAAAAGTCGCAGTTTGGACGTCGCGACTGCTGCTGCGGCCCGGCTCCTCCTCCTCCTCCTCATCCCAAATCCTGCGAAGTGTGGATAATAATTTAGCCAGTTTTTTAATCGCCGGACGCAGGCGAGGTGAATGATCGATCGATCAATCGGAATCTGGCCCGGAGTCGTCGGGAGCCGGGGGCCCGGGGGAATTATGGCAGGAGTGTCTGACAGAAGGATCGATCGATGAGTCGAAGGGAAGGAAGGAGAGGGAGAGTCGTAGAGGCGAGGGGTATTTCTGAGCTGTGGGGCAAGTGTTCGGCCTTGTTACCGTTTGAGTGTCAGACTGCGGGCGATGGCAGAGGCCCTCGTCGCCGAGTGGTCGGTCAGAGCCGAGCAGCAGGAGGCGGTGGGGAAGTGGCGAGCTCTCCCCTCGCTCGGTCCAGCTGATGCCTGACTGGTCGATCCGCTCCTTCCTCCGATTCGGGTAGAGCATTCAATACCAGTTCTGCTGCTTCGGCCTTTCTGCCTTCCTCTCCTCCGGAACCGACCCGATTTGCTGCTGCTGCTGCTGCTCCACCTCCTCCTCTTGTCGCGGCCTACCGTTCTTACCGTTTGTGGGCTCGCTCGTGGACGCGAGCGATTCACTTCCCTTGATTCATCCATTGAGCTGCTCGCATCTGTGCGCAGGAGGAGCTCGGAGCTTCTTTGATTTCACTGCAAGAAGCAGCGATTCGGGTTCCCGCATCGCTGGGCTGGCTGGGCTGCATTGCATTCACGAGTCGGAACGAGGGGGAGGGAGAGGGAGAGGGAGAGATTGAGAGAGGAATAGGGGAGGCGTCATCATGCGCATTGCGTCGATTTGCGGTTTGGGTGATTAGAGATGGCCCGTCGAGTGATGTTCGAGGAGCGACGAGTCCCGCGGAGTGATTGACTTGACTGGTTGAGGAATGTGTGGTAGATAGAAGGCAAGAACTCTCGACCTGTATGGAGAGACCGAGCATTTGACGACAGAGAGTCGAGTCGAAAGGCAGGAACCATGTTGAAGTCCAATCGAAGGCTGCGCGACGAGGTCGTGGGACTTGGTGGCAGCAGTATCAGGAGCGAGGAGCAGGCCAGCTCGGGCTCGCCTGTGCCCAGAACTCCCGAGAAGAGCCGCGCAGGAGGAGGTGGCGGTGGTGGTGGTGCTAGAGGAGGAGGAGAAGAGAAGATTTTCGTGACTGTGAGAGTGAGACCACTGAGCAGCAGGGAGTTAGCCAGGGGCGATGTCGCAGATTGGGAATGCCCGGACGAACACACCGTTCTCTTCAAGCACCCTCTCCCCGACCGCTCTCCATATCCAGCTTCTTACGCCTTCGGTGAGTTTCTTCCTCGTATACCACAAGCGCTGCCGTGCACTCTCATTCTCGTTGCATCACGAGGCCAGACCCGCCAACATGAAATTTGTTAGCTTCACGAGGTCCTGTGTAACGTGGTTTCTGTCGCACATTCTGCAGATAGAGTATTCGGACCCGATTGTCCGACGCAGCGCGTGTACGAGGAGGGCGCCAAGGATGTCGCTTTGTCCTCCCTGACGGGCTTGAACTGTAAGTCCATCGACACCTTCCATTCGGTCCTGGCCACAGAAGTTTATCTTTCTGTCCACTTTACTCGTTCTTCCGGGGAGTTAATGGAGCTTCGAAATGTCGATGCCGTATCACTGACCTCAATACTGGCCGAGAGATAATTTCTCCTTTCGGACCCATGAGATAGACAGACTTCAGCTGAGGAGTTTCGGTGGTAGTGTGCGATGGGAAGTAGTTCTTTGGTCAGTGGTTCGCTTACTCTGTTTCCCGCCCTGCGCAGCCACGATCTTTGCCTATGGTCAAACGAGCAGCGGGAAAACTTTCACAATGCGAGGTGTGACGGAAACAGCAGTTCGAGATATTTACAGTCTCATTGAGAAGGTGCAAAGCTTTTCACATTGTTCGGTGTTTACCTCTCGTCGTCAGGAGCATTTAGTCATCACGTCTCCCATCCCCTGTAGTACCGTTAACACGTTTCCTTCTGGTGTGTGCAGAATCAAGAGAGAAACTTTGTGCTGAAGGTTTCTGCTTTAGAAATCTACAACGAGATCGTGAAAGACCTCCTTAATCCTGATAGCGGTCCGCTGCGACTCCTCGATGATCCTGATGTAAGTTCTTCTGAAGCTTTGCGCGGCCAGACACAACGAAGTTTTATAAACCCCACCAAACCCCCTGATTCGGGGTTTGAAGCTTACCGAAAACGACCAACTATTCTGTTGTGGAGACGAGAGTTCGCTTGTTTCTCTGGAGGCCTGTGGCAATTATCTGAATATTCGCTCTTTGTAGGAAGCCCAATTTAAATTCGACCGCACACTTGTGGGTTGGAATCGTGGAATCTGCCATTCTGTCATGTAGCCAGCTTGTATCTGTGACTCATACTCGTTTTAGTTTTACTCTCATCAGGCTGTCGAAGTGTCGCCTGTTCGTGCATGGATTATCGTGACATTTCCTCGAACTTATGGAAATAGGGGCCGGACTAAGTCCAGCAAGTGTCTGATATTCAATATTCGACAGTGGGGAAGCGTTCTGATAAGCCAATGAGCAAGTTCTAACGAACAATCACATTTCTCGGTTTTTGTGCAGCGTGGAACGGTGGTTGAGCGTCTACAAGAAGAGATCGTGCGGGACGCAAATCATCTTCGACAAATTATCTCCATCTGCGAAGGTGATAACAACAGATTATTAGCAATGATCTGAAGTCAGCTGTCTCTTTACTGTGCTCAATCCTCACAGCACTTCTGCGTAATTGGTTCTGAAGTCAGAGATGCTTGCCTTGGATGTTTGTTTCAGCTCAACGACAGGTGGGAGAGACGTCGCTGAACGACACTTCTTCGAGATCTCACCAAATCATTAGATTGGTATGTACAAGTCCGTGTTCCCCGGTCAACAGTGATAATTCTTCCGTGATTTGGGCAGAAACTGACTGAATACTGGTATCTAGCTCGTATGTTGTCCACTGTTTCAAAAGACATCAGACTGATCTCTGTCTGCAACTGCATGGTAGACGGTGGAAAGTTCTCCCCGAATACAAGATGCAGGCCTCGCGAATGCTTTGGTCGCCAGCTTGGTATGTTGGATTTGTGATCCATTCGAAAATGACCTTACAGCTTTCTTTTTTGTACAAGTGTTTTCTCTGATCGAGAATCGTGAGCTTACAAATCCCGATCGTTGTTCAGAATTTCGTGGACTTGGCTGGAAGCGAGCGCGCTTCCCAAACACAATCCGAAGGAGCTCGATTGAAGGAGGGTTGCCACATCAATCGTAGTCTGCTTACCCTTAGTACATGCATCCGAAAGCTCAGGTACGACTGCGTTATTTAGGACAAATAACTGCTGTTGCAGTACAGTTAATCACGAATTATGAATTGTGACTATGATATGTTCTCGGGCGTCTGCGAAAGTCTATCCACCGTGTGGTCGGCTATAACTTCTTTGAGCTTCTGGCTTTTAACCTCAAATTGTCGAAAGAAGCCCAGCGGAACACGATTCGTGGTCCAGCCGGGAGATTTGCAAATCATTACGTCGTTTCGAAGCATAGTATAGTGTTCGCTCTCGTGTTTCAAGTTTCAAGTTTTCTTAAGTCTCATCATGAGATCTCATGAAGTTTGAGGCTAGAGTGGTAAAGGACATACTATGGATTCCTGAATGTGATCTGATCACCGTCCGGCTTTTCTATACTGCAGTGCGGGAGGCAAGGCGAAGGGTCACATTCCTTACAGGGATTCGAAATTGACTCGAATTTTACAACATTCCCTTGGAGGGAATGCAAGAACAGCAATTATATGCACAATGAGTCCAGCCCACACTCACGTCGAGCAGACGAGAAACACTCTATTCTTTGCCACCCGGGCCAAGGAGGTCACCAACTCTGCACATGTCAATCTGGTAAGCACAATCTCTGACTTAATATCAACTTCTGTCGTTCCGGAACATCGACTAGCAATCGAAGTACCTCCGTGCGGATTCTGATGCGTCTTGGATGGCCTTCTTTCAACAGGTTGTTTCCGATAAAGTATTGGTCAAGCAGCTGCAACGGGAGGTGGCCAGACTTGAAGCTGAATTACGTGTTCCTGACTCCCCTTCAAGTACATCATCCACCGCCGAGGCTTTATTGACATCTGAGGCTCTGCTCCAAGCGAAGGAGGAACAGATCCGAAAGGTATCAACGTTGAAGTCTTATTGTATGTTTTCTTTCTGCGGAAGTCGCCTCTCAGACTTAGGCTGTAAGCATGCAATCTATTGAGCCGAGCTACTCTGGACCGATGATTGGATATGCATGTTCTTCGGATGGATATATGAATCAGGGTGAACGTGATTGCTAAGGTCCTATTCTCGTGCCTTTGCAACAGATGGAATTGGAAATGAGGGAAATTATTAGACAGCGTGACGCTGCCCAAGTACGGTTGAATGAGGTTACTGAAAGAATGAAGGAGGCAGAGCAACAAGCAGAGCAGCGAAAGAAAGAATTGGAGCAGCAAGCTAAGGAACTGGTGAGGCTAATGAAAGTTGTTCACAAGTGCTACCTCATCCTTGCGTATCTCACCACATGTTGGTCTAGACCTAGACGATGAGTCTGATTCAGTCAGGCAAATTAGGCCTGTGAAGAATTATCGAGTGGTTTCATCGAATGGTGCAGCATGTACAATTGTAAGCCCCTTCCTTCCGTCTTTACACAAATTTCTGATCCTTGAGTACAAAATAACTTTGCGAGTGCTCTGATTGACTCCATCTTTGCAGCAAGCTCTGGAGTCCCCTTGTCGACTTCAAACTCCAACCTTTAAAACACAAGGGCAGCTTCCATCGATTCCTTCCTCCTGTGAGAGTTATGAGGATAGTGCCACTAACAACAGCCGTGCACTGGTGGTGGTGCGGAGGAACCTAGCGGATGACTTGGAGGGCAAACATTCCGTCAGATCAAAGGGTTCAACCTTGAGGCAGTCAAACTCAGCATCCCTTATGTTGGTGCAAGAGATCCGTAAACTAGAGCACTTGCAAGATGAGCTTGGCGAAGATGCCAACCGTGCCCTGGAGGCTCTGCAGAAGGAAGTTGAGTGTCTTCGTCTAGCCCAGGCCGGTATGAACCAAGATGCTGCCCAGACCATTAAAAAGCTGCAGGAAGAGATTCGTAACACACATGCACTAAGGCAGGCCACCACTTCGGCCAGGGATGCTGATGGTGCAGAGCCTCAACCACCAGTCGCCGTCATGAACAGCATGAACAAGTCCCTGAGGCAGGAGCTAACCCGGCTTCAGGCCATGGGCGAGAATGACAAAAACGAAGCCAATGCCACCATCGCCACCTTAGAAGAACAGCTTGAGAGTGTTCAAAAGTCTTTAGATAAGCTCGTCCTCCAAGAGAATCCTCAAGATCCTCCTGCAGCTGCAGATGAAGACTCTAAGACACCCACCAGACGCAAGAAATCTGTTCCCCAAAACATGAGCGGAAGCAGCCGCCAGAGACTCATGGCGGGCAGCCCACCTTGCTCTCCACAGAGCGCTCGTAAGAAGTACGAGAACAACGAAAACACTCCTCCCCGCGGAGGTCGGGACGTCAACGCGTCTCCTCATCTGGGTGACAGCGTCTCGCCCGCCCAGAAGCAAAGAACGCCCGGCAAGGGACACATGGCTGAGGACGGCCAAGGTACCTTGAATTCCAAGGACAGCATGTACCGACGAAGTAATTCCGTCGACATACGGAAGATGCAAAATCTCTTCAAGACTGCTGCCGAAGACAACATCAAGAGCATTCGTGCTTATGTCACGGAGTTGAAGGAGCGGGTGGCCAAGCTCCAGTACCAGAAGCAGCTTCTTGTGTGTCAGGTACTTTGCCATTCTACCCCTATTTGCTAGAGATGCAATATCGTCTTCCTTCACAGCAGTTCAAAGAGTACTGTGGATTTTGCAGCTCGTTTCAGGTGAAACTACTCCTATTCCCCTTGCTGACACCTGCGGGTCCTTGCAGGTTCTGGAATTAGAGGCTAACACCAACAATGATGAGGAGGCAGTGGAGGAGGAGCCTCATGTGGAGGTGGCACCAGTTGTACCGTGGTCTCCAAGCGCTTGGCGGAAGCAGTACGAGAAGCAACGCAGGGTCATCATTGAGCTGTGGGATGCTTGCCAAGTATCGATCATACACAGGACTCAGTTCTATTTGCTGTTCAAGGGAGATCCTGCGGATGCCATCTATTTGGAGGTTGAGCTCAGGAGACTGAACTGGCTCCAGGAGAACTCGGCAACAGCTGCGTTCGAGGCCACTCACAGTGGTTACCAGTCAGCTTCGTCAGAAGACCTTTTGGCAAACACAAGTCCACTGTCTGCAGGGTAAGATGACATTTTCCCAAGTTGCCATTGTAGTGCTCCGAAGTGACGTGCCTGTCGCCTTTTTGGCTTACACATCCGTTTCTGTCAATTGTCAGCCGAATAATGCTTCTCCATCGATGGAGTATGAAAAGCTAATATTTGTTGGATGGTGTACGTGCAGACTCCGGAACTTGAAGAGGGAAAGGGAAATGTTAGCGAAGCGCATGAGATCACGAATGAACCCGGAAGAGCGTGAGGAGCTTTTTGGTGAGTGGGGTATTCCGTTGGAGGCCAAGCAGCGTAAACTTCAGCTGTGTAACAAAATTTGGATGGACCCTTACGACATGGATCATGTGCAAGCCAGTGCGGAGGTCGTGGCAAGGATAGTGGGCTTCTGGGAGCCTGGGAGCGCCGCATCCAAGGAGATGTTCGAGCTGAACTTCGCACCTCAGAGCCAAACCAAGAACCCATTGGTGGCCGGGTGGAATCAGATCACCACCCTCCTCAACATTTAGGAACGTCTTGCAGATCACGGTTTGAGCACACGCAAGCTTCCTGCCCATTCTCGAACGAGGGTACGCAAGGCGAGGTGCCGGAACTTTTCACGAGTCAAGGACCTTGTCCTCAGAGCATCACATCGTGATCCAACGACTAATGCAAGGCAATCTCGATCCATGCTATTCTCATGAGTGCGCATGCACAACAATCGGAGCTCTCGATGAAAGGTTTCGAGCTTAGCCTCCGGTTTCGAGTTCAGTATACTCTGCTCTGGAGCGGTGTTTGAGGGTGCAGCAGCTGGTAGCTGAGTTCTCGTAGACTTCAATCGCCAAATGGGTTGCAGGTTCCGATCACATCCTGTATTGTATCCATAATTTTCTTGTGCAGGGAATTCCTCGTACAATCTTCGAATTCCGACATTCTTGTAATTTAATTTGGTGGGCGGGGGAGTTTAAGAATTCTTGCAGAGTTTGCCTGCATCCTTTTGAGGAAGGGCGTCGAGTTCATGGGACACATTTTAGAGACCATTGATCTGCAACAAGCTCCCTGCGACCTTCGTCCACCTCCCGGCTGAAGATGGAAAGATGGAAAGATGGATAGAGTTTATTTTAGATGTAAAGTAACAAAGGTAACGTAGCAAGGGTGGCTGGTGCAGCTTGGAACAGGTCTCTTTAGAAGTTACTGACAGCAACTTGCTGAACACAACCGTCGGATCTTATTCTTGGTCCAGTTGTAGTATAAGTGTTGTAGTACTGATAGAGTACTCATGTCACGAACAGTAGAAGGGTGATTTCGAGAAGGCAAATCCCATCGGTTGTGCAGCAGTGGTGGAGGGAAAGTGCATGGCTGGCTAGCTGGCTGGCTACGGGCTACGTGAACTGATTAGCCTTGGATTCAATATCAATACAATCTTTAGCAAACCAAAGAGTGTAAAAGATTCACTTGGTTTCTGAGCCACTTGCGCCAGTCTAATATGATCTCCTTTTGGTGTGAATTTCGAAGTATCTGGGACATTGCTGTGGTTAATGAAAAGATGGACACGTGATAGATACGCTGTATCGTGAATCTACCCCTGACGTAGATAACAAATGACTGTTGATGCTCCCCAGCATCCAAATTTCACAGCCAATTTCTCTAATCTTGACTTTCGCTGGAGCATTTTGTTTTCATCCAGCTATTTGACCACGCTGCCTATTGTGCAAGACTTTCCCCTCTTTCCGAGCGCGTGTACACCCGGGGCCGGAGGTGTACCCTGTCTCCGCGAAGTTCTGATTGCGGCAATAGTATAATGCTTGGTTGGATTGTTGTCATCTATTGGTCTGACAGAGAAGCTCTACCTTTGCTTTCAGAACTACATCTGCATTGAAACATCTGTGCAGCCTTCCTAGTTAGTGTTCAACCTTCAACCTGGCTTTCATCCAACGATGGTTGTGTTCAACAAACGAGAGATTCAGATTAGACCGTAGCTAGAGATAACTTTTGTCCAGATATTACTGAGTTTGTAGATCTTGTACATCCTGCCACAAGCCATCCAAAGTGCCTATTTTCCTAGATAGTACCGCGAGCTGAATTACAGTCTACAACTGAAATTCGTAGATCTACGCATTTCTCAACACAGAATCGAGTTCTCTTCAGTCTTCGGCACCTACTTCAGGCAATCTTCTTCAACGACTCACATTTCCTCTTGTGTTGCTATGGGGACCTAGCCCCACCGATACCTTTGGAATTATCCCTTGATGGACTACTTGATGGTTTCTTCTCATCCTTCCATATAACTTCATACCCTCTTCTTCCGGAAACATAAACCTTACCACCCTACCTCACATGCTCTCCCGAAAGTCGTTTCATCACTCCGATGTAGGACGATAATCTCGCAGCTACAAAACTCGTACCCACCCTGTTCGGTGATCAATTGCACTGAAAACAATCGACTCAAACACACCAAAATCGCAGCTACTATGTCGAAGGAATGGGATCCAGTCTGAAGCACACCTCTGGGCGGCCGTTGGTGTTTGACGTGACTTGGACCAGGCTGTTTCAGGGAAGGATGGGATGATTGGAAGATACAACAATTCGTGAGTGAAGAAAGCTCTACAACTCAAAACAAGTAATTGTAGCATGAAAATTACAGTGGACACATACTCAGCTGTGAGCTACCTCAGATGCCATCCTTGCCATTCTTCCTCGTTAGAAGCGAGGAGCTTGTTCAAAACCATGTTCGGTAATTATTGGACTGTAGTTCAGTTCTTTCTTCATTTTTTCGCTCTTGTCTTCACACACTGCAGGCCATTGTTTACTGCGCACTGAGAAGATTATGCAGATGGTAAAATCGAGAACCAACACTCCAGTTATTTCAGTCCGCTACCAAAATACAAAACGTTCAAGTTGGTTTAGTGTGTAAAGTTATAAGTCAAACTAATGGAGTTTAGGGAGAATAGAATAAATTGTCTCTAAGTAACTACGTCGTTTTCTACAAAGCAATGACTGAGGTTGTTGTTCCACCCGCATCACGTCACTTTTTAATTGCATTATATTACTGGAGAATTAAACATTGGAGTTGTGTTTTCTGATTTTTTTTTATTTGGAAATATATGAAAATGTCCTACTCCATAAGAGAATGAGCAATAATTTATAATGGTAAGTGTTATACATTTCGCTGGCCCTAATTTGTTTGTTCGATGTATTTCACTTTATATTTAATACCAATACGGAAATACAGTGCTCTCTACCCGCTTACTATATTAGAGTAAGTGATGAATTTGTAGGTACTCGAATTTATCACCAATTGACCTGTACATCTTTGAAATTTTCAACATTATCATTCAGGTTTTCATGATATTGGAGGCTACCGCCATATTTGAAGATTGTTTTATACCATTCATATCTTGTTCCAGTCTTTTATATTGATGCCAATCCACTTTGCCCATGCCATAATACTGCGATGATCTCAACTGTACTTGACCTTTGCCTTATGAGTGTGAAACATGGAAATGGCACCTATAGCCAGCCACAATTGCGGAAATCTCGAAATTTGGTCATAGATATCTTCGATTGACGATAGCTACCTCCGAAATTGTCTTCTCACAAATTCGCAAGCTGTTGAAAAATAGATTAAGTTCTTTTTCACGGAAATCGGTGACAGATTTTGCCTGCCGTGACTCTTCGTGGAAGGTCGTTTTGGGCTCAGCAGTTCTCCCGTGAAGACTCAATCAAACAATCTTTCTTGAAAAGAAGGCCCTGTGACATCTTCTCTGTGTCATCCAAGACAGGTGACACCAAAATGCGATCCACGAAGATTATCTCCAGAAGCCGTGATCGCACAAACTCCCCATAATTTGCGAGGTGCTTTCGACGGGAGATCTAGTTCAGTGGTGATATGACTCGATCACTCACCAGGGCTTGGATCGCCTGCGGTTTTCCACCGGATCATGTTTGTCTACTTTACACCTTCCGCGCGGTCGACCTGAGGCGATCGAGAGGAAGAGGTGCTGATTGAGCTTGAGTCGAGGTACCTCGGGCGAGGTTCCAAAAATTTGCCGGAGGCGGGCGAAGTAGGCCCGCCGTTACCAGCGTGTGTGTGTGTTCAATGGCAGGGGTGTCAGCACGATGGGCCGTCTCAATACGATCATGAGCTCATCGCCGTCGCCCTTGCAAGGTCGGGTAACCTCTGTTTGCGAAATTTCGGGTTTATAGACCAGAGCATGTCACCGTCGCTGCTCGAAGCGTATGGGTTCTTGTTTGGTGGCATAGTATCCACTGCTTCAAGTTAGAATAACTTTTTTTCCTATTCATGGTCATGAGTGAGTGTAGACAGTTGATGGTACTCTCAAGATACACAAATGTCTGACACTTTATTTTCAGCACTTGAAATGAATTTAGAAGTCAATATACTAAAATTCTTCGGGGTGAAACCTAATATTAGTCATGAACAAAATTTTAAAATAGTCTGATTTTCTACTATTTCTATTTATTTTAGTCAAATATTAAAATTATTATTTAAAACTAGCATCTGTAAACCCGGTGGTATAATTGAGTTCACATATAAGTGAGTATGAGTTTAATCACATCATGCTCACATGTGCCACTCTGGATATTCTTTGAATTGTGATTTGAGAAATATCTTCCCAACTAACAGTTCAAAAATCTAAAAATACTTCAATAAATTTGAAGTATTTTTTAAAATTGAAAATTTTTATATTAATATATGAGGAATATTTTTCCTGAAACTAATCAAAACTTTAATTAGGTAAAAAATACATGTAAACGTCACTTATCTCTATAATTTTTAAAACAATATTACGGATTCTTGCTCAAATTTAAATCTCGCTAAATTTTTTAAATTTTTGAATGAATGAAAATTAATAAAACATGATATTCTATAAAATATCAGAAATTATTTCAAAATAGTTATAAAACTGCTTAGAATATACTATATTGATTTATGGAATAAGCCTCACTTTCTAATTTTGAAAAAAAATTTCATTGTTAAATACTGTTAGAAAAGTCTACGTTTTGTTTTTGCTATGCTTTGAGAAGTAAATTGTAATATTAAAACAAATATATTTTTGAAAAAATGCATTAAAATAAAAATCAATATTAACTGAATGAATGAATAAGTAAATTTTGATTCTGAAATTTCAAAATTTTCTTGCAAATTTTTTTCCTCGAAAGATATATTATATAATTGAGATTAAATTTTGACCTGTTGAAATTTTTTTTTTCAAATGAAATGATATATATTTGATTATCGATGTCAAAAATTTTTGAGGTTAATATTCAAAATAATAATATTAGAATATTTTATTTAGCTTATAATCGTAATAAATTGAAATAAATATTGAGTTTTAATTTATGTGAAAAGAGTTTAATTAAAATATTAAAGTATATTCAAAATTATCTTAAAATCTCATGAATGAATAAATGAAAGCAAACCTAATAACAATATAGTGATGCTGATAAATATTATACTGTGTACCATTAATGTAAAACTTATCTAGGTGCATCCAAACTGTGGAATTCAAACATGATCTCTCTAATGTTCTTTGTTATTTTTTACGTGTTACACTTTAAGTTACATGTTTTACGTATTTAATCTCACATAGAACACTATCCATCATCTCATATTATAATTATATAAGAATACCTTTACATTAAGATTGTATTTTTGACAAATACATTTTAAACTACCAATTTGACTTTGAGATTTTTGCAATAATTATTCTACTCTGCGATGGAACTGAAATTCTGGCCTTGGACGTTTCTCATCACCTGCAATATTCCCGATGAAAGATAGACTTTCCTGTACCTCGAGAGTGTCAGCCACGTTGAATTTGCAAGAGTTGGCTCGATTGGAGCCGGTCGGTCGTCTCTTCTGATCTCCGGACAACGTATCTCGCCTGCCAGAACACAAATCAGATCTGGGAGATCCATGAATTTGTTCGTTGTCTGTACTTGATTGAAGTTTGCTGAAATTTTCATGTCAGGGGGCTACAAATCCTCGTGCACAGAATTTGCCTTCAAGCCCCAACAGTTCGGTCACAGCAGCAAGTGAGATCACTTGCTGCTGTGATCACTTGAAGCACGAGGAATTTGCAGCGGGATTTTCGCTTGCTTATTCCACTGACTACTGCTTGCCTGCCTGCTGCGAAGCAAAGCAGAGGCAAGTGGGTGCTCGACCACCCGCTGTTGGAAAATCAAGCCCGTGCTATAGACACGGGATAAGAACCAGGAACTCGATCATCGGCATTGTAGGACCGATTGCAGCCGTCACAACTCACGAGAAGTATATGGTGTGACTGAATGCACGTAATAGATCCCTTACGTATGGAAGTAAGTCGTCGCGTGAGCAGCATCAGCAGTCGATGGAAGAGAACAATCAGAGCAAACCCACACTGACCAGGTGAATCAAATTATGATGATGGTGATGTTGATAAGTGGGTGAATTACATCTAACTCTTGCGACAATTCAGCAGGGGTATGGGACTCACGCCAGCCGGACG